CAAAGTGAAACAAAGGTTTGAAAATATTTCGAAATAAATTTTAAATAGGTTGTCTGCGGCCTTAAATACTCTCACATTATTATTAAAAAAAAACAATTTACAAGAAATTATTCTATTGCAGCCCATGCTTTTGTATGTAGCAGAGAAGAATCCGCATTTTTCATGGTGTTTTTATTACCGCCGAGATATGAATGGATGCTTGTCATGGATATTATCCATCGACCCATGACAGCATATAAAAGGCCGCTACTGAACATTGGCCATCACCGTAGATTGCTTCATAGGGGGATTTCGAAGTAGGTGTTTTTTTTTTAAGAAGATAGGTGTCACGTTTAACAGGCAGGTTGGCAGCCGCGATATTTTAATTATTTAAAGTTGTTATCAGGAAGATGCTTCTGCCCGTCGCTTGCTTCAGCTTCCCTCCGTCGCCTCTTACGACACCCACGGGACGATATGTAGTATGTAGTTGATATTCTTACACGGTTAATCACGTACTATGTCAGCGCTTAAAATTAAGATGATCCTCTTTTAATTTTAGAGCAATGTGCAAAATTTTTAGCACATACCACATTTTTTATAATTCAACATTTTAAATAAACGAAATAAAAACGTGATATTCACCTTATAGTTTCATTTTAAAGTCTTTTTTTATACAATATGGGTGACAAGCGACCACATAGTCCACCTGATGGTAAGTCAATGACGTGGCCCATAGACATCTACATTTATCCTCAATTAAGAATCAAAATGCAGATGCGTAGTCACCCCTGAGGACTAATAAGGAATGTCTCATTTCCAGTAACAAGGTTCTCCGGTTCTCTACACCCACCATACGAAACATAGCAGCATTAAGCTGCTATTTTACAATGGTATTCTGTGAGAGCGTGGTCCTACCCCGGTCGAGCCGACCCATTCGTACAACCATAATATAGTCTGCGCTCCCTTTTCCCCAAAGAGGGTCGCTTCCGAGTCGGCAGAAATGCCTTAAAAGCCAATGCCAGTCTCACAGGTGGTGTTTAGTGGGTAGGCACTTAGGTTTCGCAGTGAGTCCCACATAACCACGACAGCCGGTTGTCGTGGTATGCTTAGAGCATGCACCACCTCCCTTCCTCGCTTCCCGGATGGTTAGACCTTTCCATTGCATCTGGACGCAAAAAAAACCATAATATAGCTGCAGCGTACTACGTATTTTCTAAAAATCGTCTTAAAAATTCCACCCACGATACAAGATCTCTTTACCACGCAGTTTAGGTCTTATTTAACAGACACTTCGTAGTCACAAAATACAGCTGAACATTTCTTGATCACGAAAAATTATTTGTTTTGTCTCAAGTAGGTATATAAAGGCCTTCATTAATCGTATCGAAAACAGATCGATCTTACCAGTTCTGCGGCAGGACGTCAGTTTCCTACCGTTGTCCTTGTGCATCTACTTCTAGAAAATATGTTAGCCAATGCTGTTATTTCGGTATATTTGCATGACGGAATAATCATTAAAACACTATGCCTAAAAAAAGCAAACTAACTACTGACGGCTCCGTGGCGCAGTGGCTTAGCAATCAGTTGTTGCGCTGGGGGCCGCGGGTTCGTATTCCGCACGGAACAAGTATTTGTATGGCCTACAAATAATTGTTCCGGGTCTGGATGTTTGTCCTTGTGCAATTTATGTTTGTAAACTGCCTCCACGACACAGGAAAAAATCCTAGTGTGAGGGTAACGTTTTATAAAAAAAAGAAAAAAAAACGTGCAACACTTCGCGTACAAAATGTCCACATAATCAACTCCTTAGTCATTGCTTGTTCTTAAGAGCATCTCAGATGAACGAGCCTTGAAACAGTTCTTAAAGCTTCGTATGAATATGTACAGAGCTTCTTTTATACGACGGATATCTGTAGTAACAATCTGAACAGCAATTCTTTTTGATGCTTTGAATAGTTTCGAGCATATAAACAAAAAGCTGCAAGCGAGAAAAGTTAAGAGCACATCGTATAAATGCCAGCACGGTTAAGCTGTCAAGATTTCTGTACCCACAAAGGACGCCGGCAGCTTTCAAAAATGATGTCAACAGGATTTTAAATTTTAGTCAAAGGATTCAGGGGAGCGTTCTCGAAAACTCTAGTTAAAGTTACAGTAATGTAGCTCTATTCATGAAGTATGCAAATGAGCAAAATGAGGGACGATATTAAAAGTTCAGCTGGCGCATACAGCAGGTAAATTACGATGTTTATAAAATAAAATGGATCTGAAACAATTCAATTTATTGCAATTAAAATAATTTTTAAATATAGTTTATAAGTAATTCTTATTAAAAGCCATTATTTTACTTTTACCACTGGTTCGCAAAAAACCTTGGAAGAACCATCAAGAAACCCAGCGAGACTTTTTGTTTAAAGTAAAATTATACAATGAAAACAAGGGGTACTTTACTTTATTTACTACCTAATTCACTTACAAAACTTTTTTTTAAGGAAAACTTACAATACTTATGTATTTTAGAAACAGCTTACTAGCGTATCTCATCATTACTGTTATTATCAACTATGTATGTATTCATTTTTGTTTAATAAAAAAAATTGAACTTAGTAATAGAGAGATCATGTATATTTTCTGGGACTTTGTTATAAAAATACATATATAAAGGCAGTATACCCTCATGAATGACTCTGTGGAGTCATGTTAGGTACTTTAGAATAAATTAAAAACAGGTAAAATAGTTGAAAATTCTTTATATCGTAACATAATATCTCAAATAAACAGATCACAAAAAATAACCCTGTATATAACAGGCCTATTCTTCAAAGAGTAGCTAAATTATAAATTTTAAAGTTCAAAATGTATATATTTGAACTTCAAATATATAAATAATAACATACCGTTATTGCAGTTTTTGAAAATACGAGTAAATAAGACTTCTACTTTTATTTGAAATGATCGCATATACATATACGCATATATATGTTTGTATATATATACATATATATATATTTATATTTATATAAATATATATATATATATATATATATATATATATACATATATATATAAACCTTTTTGCCTACCGATCGACCCTTACGAATGTGTGCATGCGCAATAAAATCAGTTAAAATAGTGCATTACCACGCATTCTGAATTTAAAAGATAAAAAGGACTGAGTTATTGAAATTTGGCCGGTTATTGCAAAATAACCCTGTATACTGGTTGATCATTAAGTTTTTGGAAACGCAATGAAACTCTGGGATAAGTGTATGTAAATTGTATTTATTTTAACGTAATCGCATTTCAAGCCAAATACACCATGTATAGCATTTTGCAAATTGATTCATTCTCTTGGAAAAAGGGCTTGATCCTGGGACTCGAAAAAGGCCTCTACAGCACACATCACCTCATCGTCGCCGGCAAATTTTACACCACACAAGTGTTTTTTCAGGTGAGTAAAAAGGTGAAAATCACTCGGAGCTAAGTCCGGAGAATATGGTGGATGCTGCATCAACTGATACCCAACAGTTTGGACGGCAGCGTCTGCAATATCAGATCAATGGGTAGGGGTATTCTCATGATAAAAAACGACTCCGGCACATCATTTTGCTCTACGTTTATTCTTTAGCTTTCACGTAGTTTTTTGATTATTTTATATATATTGACAATTGTTTCAACCAATCCGAAGATTAAGGTACACACACAGACATCCAAAATTTAAAAAAGAGTTATTCATGTCTTTACTAAAGGCATGCAAATAACCCCTAAGCTCTGTAAAGACATTTATTTCGATATTACATAAAGACACTTCAATTTTATTTATATGTATAGATTTACGAATTTGAGCTCAACTTTGACTCCGTGTTTTTCATGCTCTTCTTCAAAAACCCGTAAAAGTTTCACACACACACAAACACGCACGCACACACGCACATGCTTATACACAAAACACAAAACTCTAATCTCTAACACATGTTAATAGTATTTTGAAAATTAAGGTATTTTTTACATAATTAGGTTTATCTAATAATTTTTTTTATATATTTCTGTTTTATACCTGTGACTACCGTCGTTGAGTTTACGATATGTAAGAAATTGTAATAGAATATAAGCCTTAGTATAGGATATATTGTAAACTTGTTTGTGGTTCTCTAAATAAATTAAAAAAAAGTCGACTGCTGAAGATAAGCCTCTCCCGTTTTAGGGGAGGATTTGCTTTTATTCTACCGCTTGATAAAAGGATGTCGATGTTGATGTCGAAGGCAGTACGCTGTTCCCCTGTCGCTTGTGTGCGTACTTACGCCTCGCATAAGGAGGAGCCACAAGATATTTTTCTATCTTAGGCCGCAGTATGGACTTTATCTCGTGCGCAGTAATTTGAACTGTCTGCGCACGTGATAAAGTCCATAATTCAACGATACGTACGTGTAAATGATTTTTAAGTGGTAGAGGCATGCTGCAGCTATATTATAGGTGTAACACGAATAAGTTGGCTCGACCGAGGAAGGACCACGCTCTCACAGAATACCAGCGTAAAATAGCAGCTTAATGCTGCTGTGTTTCGTATGGTGAGTGTAGTGAACTGGGGACCCTTTTTACTGGAAACGAGCCATTCCATCGTAGTCCTCACGGGCGACTACGCATCTGCATTTTAATTCTTAATCGAGGATAGATGTAGATGTCTATTGGCCACAGTAACCACTTACCATCAGGTGGATTGTGTGTTCGTTTGTACACCCTGCACTGTTGAATAAAAAAAATATCTTAAAAGTTGCAATTAGCTAAAATACATCCTCCGTGTAGTGGCGAGATAAGAGAATCCCGTATGATCCCGGGGTATGACCCCCAACAACTTATAGAAGTATATAACATAGAGAAATACTGAAACGATTTTAACATCTATAATATGTAACTGTTTATTATTTCTAGATATGTATTGGTAACAAAATTTACGATCCGTTACAACTTGTTAATTAAATTATGATTGTTTGGATACATTCTCATACTTCGTCACAGTAAACGCTATGAACAAATGGAGTGCACTTTTTCTACTTGGTAACTATGTTTTTGAAATCAGTTTTCTTTATCTACAGTATTTATATATTCAAGCATTTCATAAGTCGATATCGTTTCTGCCTTTCTTAACTGAATTCAAACGTTATTTATAGTATCAACTCAGACCAAAAAATAAAGAAGGATGGAGCGCTGCGTACATTTCAAATGACGCAAAAACCATGCTTAACTTCTTGAAACCCACGCAAACATCTTTCTTCTTTTTTACACATCTATATGATAAGTGAGTGCCTGTTCTTACAATAAGCTTAGCATGGCATTGGCTTGATTTATGCATCACTTGAAATGTGCGAAGTGCTCCGACTTCCTTTGTTTGTTGGTGGGAGAGTAGGTATCAATCAACGCTTTCAATTAAAATTAAAATCGTGTATAGACGTTAAAGTTGACAATGACTTTATATTTATTTTTGGTTGAATTTCGAAACGTTCTATTTTCACATGACATACAAAGTATAAGAAAACAAATTCTTGTGTTAAAAGTGTTGATCAGAGTGCATTGGATAAAATTAGGTAGATATTAGAGAAGCTTAAGCAATCTTTTAGTTAAAATAATAGGGAAACGAATTCTAAAACAAATAGTTGTGTCCGCAAATGAACATAAGGAACTGTTTGTAACAATTATTATAATTTCCCTCTACTAAAAAAGTTGGAATAAGACAATATAAAAAGTTTTTAATTGATTGGTAAATTATTCTTTCAAAATTTTTTGTAATATTTCGCTGTAATAAGTATGTACAAAAAAGAGTAGACTTAATATAAAATGAAGAAATAACTATAATTACGAACAGAGTGTTAAAAGGTGCTAGCGTGATTTGATCCTCGTGCTCTCTGTAACAAAGATTTGCCCAGGGATTAGGGATCTGTGACAGCAAACACCTGGCCACCGAGCTTCAGCACGTCAAGCAGGTTCTGCACGACAACAAGCTTCGGGTTCCGCGCCTACGTCACAGTGACCGAGTGAAGCCGGCCACAGTCGAGTGTGTGCCTGCTGTACTAAGTACCATATGTCAGAGGTGCCACAGACAAGATTGACTACATCTTGAAGCGAGCTTCTATTAGAACATTCTTCAAGCCGCCGAAGAAGATTAGTCAGTTCTTACCATCTGTCAAGTGCAATATTCCTCTACAAGATGCAGGAGTGTACAAGCTTGATTGTGATTGTGGTCTCTCATATATAGGGCAAACAAAACGATCGATAAAAACCCGCGTAAAAGATCACATAGCTGACGTGAAGCACCATCGTTCCGGGAAGTCTGCAGTTTGTGATCATATCCTAGACGTCCCCCGCCATTACATTAGATTTGATAAACCACAAATTCTCGCGAAAGAACATCGACTCCTGTCAAGGATGATACGTGAGGCTATTGAAATTAAAAAGCATCCTAATTTCAATAGAGAGGGAGGCTGGGTACTACCACCTGCTTGGGATCCTGTAATTCATAAAATTAAAACTAAACCCAAGCATACCACTGCAAGACTTCAAGACACAGTTAGTTCATTCTGCGTAGATCAGACCAAAATTATTTATTAAAAAAGCTGAAGGTACTCCGGGTTAACTCTGACATCGGGACGTCAATCACCTTAGTCCCCCGTGACCACGGTTGCTGGAAAGCAACCGAAACGTCGGGAATATAAAAATAAGTTAATTAAACGCGATAAAATCCGTAAAAGTAGTTTAATTCAATGTGTAGTGCTCGCGTAAAAATAAGAAATCATTAGTTTTTACATCTATTATTAATATAATAATATCTTTCTGAAAAATTCTTCTCATAGAAAAACTCCATCGTTATTACAGGGTTATTTTTCAAAGAGTAACCAAATTTTAAACTTGACTTCAAATATATAAATAATGTTATACTTTTATTGCAAGTTTTGAAAATACGAGTAAACGAAATAAGTCTTCTACTTTTATTTTAAATTATCCCGAATTGAATGTGATTTATGGACAACAAATATGCGTACGCGCGCTTCTCTGTGTTCGATTCAATTTACAACGTTTTTGCAAGGGTCGATCGGTAGGCGGTTAACCCTTACGAATGTGTGCGTGCGTAGTAAAATTGTACGTTTTAGATATTTATGAATGACAATCAGTTAAAATAAGCATTGCGATGCATTTTGAATTTAAAAGATAAAAAGAACGGAAAGTTTGAGGTTATTTTTTATTAATTTTTTTTCACCATATGCCTATACTACTTATTCTAAAACTTCTCTTAAAATTTGGCCGGTTATTGAAAAATAATCCTGTATATCGTCGTTATGTATGTATCGTTGGCAAGCAAATTGGCGATCGTAGTACCAAACATCTTACATTTATAACTACAGAATAAATAATAGTACTACATACTTTATACTTATTCCCGTCTCCTGTCTGAATTTACATTAGGTATATAAACAAAATAGTTACACTAGCGGACCTATCTGAGACAACAATATCTTGTGCCTTTCCCTAAAGTAGGCGAAGCCCGTAAGATGAGGTAGGCTAATAAAATATTTTTTCTTAACCGTTGTCTGGCGTGATGTGTTTCCTAATATTGAAAGAAAAATTAATATAAAACTAACTTTTATTTTAGGAGTTGTAGTACTTTGCAACGGGAGGGAACCCTTTAGACCTCGAGAGGGATCAATGCCATTTGTTGTAAGTATAAATTCTAATAATATTGTGTTCACTTGATGTGTGAAAATACAAATAACACTATTTGAGACAATTATAGTAGGTTCAAACTAAATTTGCAGGCGTACTATGAAATTTAAGGCAAGCGGCCAGGCCAAACCTTGCGCTACCACGGCTGATTGATTTAGTAGACTGTATTTTTTTCTTATATAAAAACTGTTAGGGGGTCGAGTTTTCATATTGAACATAAGTCATTTATCAGAATAAAAAACATAAATTATATTATTTTATCAATTAAATCAATTGATGCATCAAAGAACCCAAAACACTTATTAGTAGTTTCAACTAAACATACATTTTGTATATCTGCAAAACGGCTAGATTGGCATTTATCAGATTATAGTTTTATTAAACTATTATTACAACTTGAAAACTAAACCATATGTTATATCAGTAATAGAACAGAGGTAGAGCAAAACTTAACTAAATTAACACTGCTGTTGTACATAATATGATACATCGACTAAGCCGGAATGAGCTTCTTCTGTTCTTCCATTCTATAAGTATAAAATCTTTAGGAGGTTTATATATTGAAGGCTAAAACCTCTTAGAATTTTTATATCTCTGCCTTTTTTACGTAAGAAAAGCTCAACCAATTTCTACGTCTCCAATCCCATAATAATTTCATAAGCTCCTTATCTCCAGCCTTGGCATAGACCTTTATCGGAAAAACACTGAGATAAATCATGGGACGTTGATATACGACATGTGACTTATCACCACTTATATACTCACGCTTTAAGTGGCCTATTGAGTAGTGAACCCAACTACTTCCGTCAGGGCTACTAATCTCAGCCGTAGAAGACAATATTTGTTCAAAACACAAATTATCGCATTTTTGGTCTACTTCTGTTGTTCATATCCCTAGTTCTAGTCGATATTGTAACATATGTGCTTGGCGAGGTTCACCATGTATCGGGCACCGTTAATTTAGCTGTACACCTGTAGCATTAACTATAATTCATGATTCAATGAATTTACACCTGTAAACGAAGGTAATACATAAAAATAAGTTGTCAGTCGTAGGACTGCACGTCAGAAGTGAAAATTTCATAGCTTAACAAACAATGTACCTAAGCGTATGGCCATGCGAACTCGGTGCTTTTTCCACATCCCAAAAGTGCCCAACGTACCTACAGAAGTTTTAACTTCAATGCACGGAGATCCGGCAACATTCTTAATTTGAAAGAAATATATTATTAACAAACATTATAGTCCCACGTACATGCCACTAACAACACTGAACTTTTGGAGATTTCTTAATCCATGTGTTTATAATAATTGTTGAAATTTGTTATTATCCAGGGCTTGATAATAATTGGAAGGACGTTAATAATATCGTGGGATTATACACTCTGTATATTTATGATAGGACTTCTGATAGAAGTTCGCTTAATCATGAATCAGACTTGTGTTTTTATGAAACACAAACTTTAAGAAAATTTAACTATATATTTATTAATAGTGCCGACCGCCGCAAACTATCTAGAACGTTTTTGTTTCTAAAGTGAATGCGATGTCTGATAAACTGTCAAGCGAGGGACCGAAGGGCTCTAGCGGTTAGAGGTAATATGTTGGCTTGCAGGTTTCTCGCTGTACGGAAGAGGTAAAAGGCGTTTTTTAAAGCATACTGTCAAAGCATATACACGGGAAACCTGTGGGACAAATACACCAAAAAATCGTTGGACACCCTATGAATCCATTACAACAATGTCTTTAGGATAATATTGGGTCTGACGCGTTTTTGAAGTGCATCAGGGATTTGTCCTGAGTATCAAACTGATGACTTTGAAGCCATCATTCGCAAAAAAAAAACAAACTCCTTGGTCAGTAGAGTGAGGAACAGTTCCACTAGAATCCTAAAGACATTAGCGGATCGATTCACATCACCGCTCTGGAGGTGCTTTGTGCGAAGAGTGAAGATCACGGTGATCTACCCTTTCTCCTGATGTTTACTTTAGTATATGAAAATGTACATTATATTTTTCATCTGTATTGTAATTTTTGTACCTTATTTAATTTACTACTAATCAAAGATGTTTAAAACATCTTTGCTACTAATATACTTTTAAGTCACTTTATTAAACCATATGGATATACAACTTGTCCGAAATAAACAATTATTATCATTATTGTTGTTGTTGTTGGAGTATTTATAAAGCATTCTTATCTGTTTGGGCTGAATAAATATATAACTTTCATGTTTTCAATATTTTATGAAAAATATCAGTTGAGTATAAGTTCGCATCCAAGTAAATAAAGTATATTTATTAAGTGCATGGATTTTTTTAAATATATATAATGGATTAAAGGAGCATGCCCTTACCTGATGGTAAGTGACTACCGCCGCCCATCAACTACTGCAACACCACAAGAAATGCCATCTGCATCACGCCGGCATTTTAAAAAAGAGTAGGCTGTTATCCAATTTTGTATGTGCGATTGTAGAACAAATTAAACTTTTATTTTCGATACGAAGTTTCTTTTGTTGGTTGGCGTGCGTGCGGTCATGCTTGCGTGCGTGCGTACGGGCGGGCGGGCGTGCGTACGTTCGTGCGAGCGATCGGGCTAGCGAGCGGGCGTGCGTGCGTGCGGGAGTGCGGGAGTGCGCGCGTGCTTGCGAGCGAGCGGGCGTGAGTGCGTGCGGGAGTGCGGGATTGCGTGCGTGCATGCGAGCGAGCGGGCATACGTGGGCGCGTGAATGCGGGAGTGCGTGCGTGCGTGCGTGCGAGCAAGCGGGCGTAATGCGTGCGGTCGTGCTTGCGTACGTGCGTACGGGCAGGCGGGCGTGCGTTCGTGCGAGCGAGCGGGCGTGCGGGCGAGCGTGCGTGCATACGTGCGGGCGTGCGTTCGTGCGAGCGAGCGGGCGTGCGGGCGAGCGTGCGTGCATGCGTGCGTGCGTGCGTGCGTACGGGCGGGCGTGCGTGCGTGCAAGCAAGCGATCGGGCGAGCAAGCGGGCGTGCGTGCCTGCGGTAGTGCGGGTGTGCGTGCGCGCGTAGGAGTGAGCGTGCGTGCGTGCGTGCGGGAGTGCGGGAGTGCGTGCGTACGGGCGGGCGTGCGTGCGTGCGAGCAAGCGGGCGTGCATGCGTGCGGGAGTGCGGGAGTGCGTGCGTACGGGCGGGCGTGCGTGCGTGCGAGCAAGCGGGCGTGCATGCGTGCGGGAGTGCGGGAGTGCGTGCGTACGGGCGGGCGTGCGTGCGTGCGGTCGTGCTTGCGTGCGTGCGTACGGGTGGGCGGGCGAGCGTGCGTGCGTGCGGGAGTGCGGGAGTGCGTGCGTGCGTGCGAGAGAGCGGGCGTGCGTGCGTGCGGGAGTGCGGGAGTGCGTGCGTGCATGAGCGCGGGAGTGCGTGCGTGCGTGTGAGCGAGCGGGCGTGCGTGTGGTCGTGCGTGCGAGAGTGCGTACGGGCGGGCGTGCGTGCGTGCGAGCATGCGGGCGTGCGTGCGTACGGGAGTGCGGGAGTGCGTGCATGCTTGCGACCGAGCGGGCGTGCGTGCGTGCGTGCGTGCGTGCGAGGGAGCGGGCGTGATGCGTGTGGTCGTGCTTGCGTGCGTGCGTACGGGCGGGCGGGCGTGCGTGATTGCGTGCGAGCGATCGGGCGAGCGAGCGGGCGTGCGTGCGGGAGTGCGGGAGTGCGTGCGTGCGAGCGAGCGGGCGTGCGTGCGTGCGGGAGTGCGGGATTGCGTGCGTGCGTGCGAGCGAGCGGGCATACGTGCGTGCGTGAATGCGGGAGTGCGTGCGTGCGTGCGTGCGAGCAAGCGGGCGTGGAGCGAGCGGTCGTGCTTGCGTGCGTGCGTACGGGCGGGCGGGCGTGCGTGCGTGCGTGCGAGCGATCGGGCGAGCGAGCGGGCGTGCGTGCGTGCGGGAGTGCAGGAATGCGTGCGTGCGTGCGAGCAGCGGGCGTGCGTGCGTGCGTGCGTGCGTGCGATCGAGCGGACGTGCGTGCGTGCGGGAATGCGGGAGTGCGTGCGTGCGTGCGTGCAAGCGGTCGAGCGTGCGTGCGTGCGGGAGTGCGGGATTGCGTGCGTGCGTGCGAGCGAGCGGGCATACGTGCGTGCGTGAATACGGGAGTGCGTGCGTGCGTGCGTACGGGCGAGCGGGCGTGCGTGCGTGCGTGCGAGCGATCAGGCGAGCGAGCGGGCGTGCGTGCGTGCGGGAGTGCGGGAGTGCGTGCGTGCGAGAGAGCGGGCGTGCGTGCGTGCGGGAGTGCGGGATTGCGTGTGTGCGTGCGAGCGAGCGGGCATATGTGCGTGCGTGAATGCGGAAGTGCGAGCGTACGTGCGTGCGAGCAAGCGGGCGTGATGCGTGCGGTCGTGCTTGCGTGCGTGCGTACGGGCGGGCGGGCGTGCGTGCGTGCGTGCGAGCGATCGGGCGTGCGTGCGTGCGTGCGTGCGAGCGAGCGGGCGTGCGTGCGTGGGGGAGTGCGGGAGTACGTGCGTGCGTGCGAGCGTGCGTGTGCGTGTGTGTGTGTGTGTGTGTGTGTGTGTGTGTGTGTGTTTGTGTGTGTGTGTGTGTTTGTGTGAGATGTTTTTTTAAATAAATGATTAATGATATTTTATAAATCTAAATGACGCCACATTAATAGATCCTATAAAAGCTAAGATGGGGCGGGATGCTAGTAGATACTACATATATGTATAACAAGAAACATAAATAAATTTAAATGGCAATGTTGGTTCTTTTGCCTCAATAGTGAAAAAAAAAATTTGTGTAATTGTAAAAAATTATATTATATTAATTAATATTTTTGCAAGATTGTTTGCAGTTTTCAATCTTTCCCCTACTAGCTAGTCCTTAAAGGTGACAATTACCTACTTCTGACTTACGCTTATAAACGTTTAGCTCAACGTAAACAACTTAAATTACTAACAAACAGTTCAATCGTCATCATTGATACAGGTCTATTTCCTATCACGTTACCGAGGCCTATGCGTAGGCGCGTTGGTCTCGAGGACTGCAGTGATCACGGCTGCTGTATGCGTCACCAACCCTTTGACAGTAACGAAGGACACGCGGCACATCAACGTAATAGCGGGCACTACTTACCGACATCTGAGACGGGGCATCCGGGTGCCAGTCACAAAGATTATAATACCTAAATGTGCGTATATAAGTATTTTTCTTCTTCTAAAAATAAGATAATAATCAACATGTAACCGTTATTTTCATTTAAGGCGAGGCACAAAATTGCTGATGGTAATCTTTAGAATATATTAATTTAGAATATTATATAATTTTCATAAGCAGGCTGAACTTCTCGTCAGCTATTCAATATCATTCGCCGTTCTGAAATTTCATACCAATATTAATCAAGTGAATGTAGTGTCATAGCAAGACTTTTAAAATAGATTATTAACTTGTGATCATATAATTACCTGATGTTTTCGGCATTCTTTAATAATAACTGTTGAAAGAAAGAAATGTTACCTCAAAAACTGTTCACTGAAGCATGTTTATACATAGATTTATTATTTTAACTAAATCGTACAACTCTTATGCTATCTTTAAAAAAACACATTGAAAAAAAATATTTTCCTTTTTCCTTCTCAATACATGTATTTTTTGGTGAATGCATAACACCAGTTCTAGCACCAAGTGACTTCTTTTTGTTCTCTGAGGACAGAGATTTTCGTCAAATGAGGAGGCAATCACATTCGTGAATAATTATTTTGCTGAGGAAAACGTCAAGTAGTATTTGGACGGGTTAGAGAGATGGGAGCATTGCTGGCAGAAGTGTGTAGAGTTACTATGTAGAAAAATAAAAATAAATTTTAAGAAAAAATGTCTTTATCTTTGTTAGGTCGGAAACTTTTCAGACCACCCATAAACGTCAAAAATTTCAATTAAACTGTTACTTTTCCAGGTCGCATGATGGTGTTTTATTCCTTATGCACTCGATACTGTAATAGTATTGATTAACTGATCGAGCGTGGTTCCCGACATCATATTATGACCCCAAGGCCGATACTTCGAACCCTAGTTACTGTACATCAATATTAGGCTAACTACTATTGAAACGGCTTTTGGGTGCGATAGATAATGTTTCTCCGGATGAATAAAGTACACGCCAATTCTGGTTTATTATAAGTAGATTTCTTGCCTTTACAATGATCACTTTATTATTAATATTTTATAATTGCAGGACATAACTTATCGGTCCTTATTAATTTGGCACTTTAGGAATTACCTTGGAGTCATATTGGTAGCACTGGTTTTTCTTAATTTCTGTTTCGCGTACAGATGAAAGGCAGTTACCTAAATAAAAATTGCCATGCGTTATGTGAATAATCTTACTGTATCGTCAATCATTTCATAGCATTTCAGAACAGCCTGCACAACAGTAAAGAGGTCGCTGAATTGTTGTGGAATTATCGTTACTCAAAATTTTAAGAGACATTGTCAAACTCATGTTTAGTTTTTTTATTTTTGCTTCGCAGCAGAAAATAAAATCGTTTAGGGGTATATTTGTCTTGGTTTTCTTTTTGTGTTCTAACCTTCTGGACAATCTTTATAGGTACATTGATAGTAATAACAAAACGTTATTTGTTTTGAGAATGTTTGTTGTATGTATCAACGCTGAGGTCTCGCAGTGCATCATTGACACCAATTCGAAAGAAATTGAGCTAGTTATCAGGCCGAGCGAAGCGAGCCCTGCACTAACCCACAATCTATGCATTTTTGTGGTAGGTACACTTTACTGAGAAATTGTCACACTTTCAGGTTTGTGCTTTGACATAGTATTTTCGATTCATGTCTAGGTGTCTTATCAATCATAAAAATATTATTTTATCCATATTTAAAAAAATATATAACATTTTTATTGTATTACTAGCACCATCTGAAAGAAAACTAAAAAAAATCCTTTGTACCATGTTAGATAGTGCTGATTATGAATTATGAATAACTCGATGAAAAAATGTCGGATAATCTCTCAGGTTCTGACATTGTTTTGGGACAATTTAGTCAGATCTATGGTCTGGCCAAGGTCAATAATATGTTTTTTTGCAGAACAATTCTTTTTAAATGTTATTTATAAGCGATTCGATTCGTTATTTATAAGAATTCGCGAGCCATTACAAAGTTGTACTTTTACCTGGTGTATATTATTAGTAATTACTAGTAGGCGTAGGCACGTTAAGCTGTTAAATGACTTGCCAATCTGAAGACGATTATGAAAATATCAAACATTTAGATAAAAACTATAAAATGTTTGATAAAATTTTCAGACTGCGATATCTTTTGGGCAATTTAAAAATATTTACCGAGAAAACGCTTAAATCTTACCTTAATAATTAAAATATTTATTTTAAAGATTATAAAATGTAAAATTATAAAAAGAAAGTAAAACCAAATTATTGAGATAGTGGTCTGATACTGTGGCGCGGAAGACTAATTGTTTTAATACTTGCTAGTATAATATATTGTAGTTGATCGGTTTTCTTCATCTACCTACCTGCCATTTAATTTATTGGAACCGCGGAAATATTCATGTCTGGATGCATAGATTAATGATAAGTCATTGTCAGAGCGCGCGATGACTTATCATTAATCTATGTGTGGATGATAATGTTGTTCAAGCTCGGAAAGTATCTTAAGATGTAAAATAACTTAATTGTAGGTTATAGGCTGTGGAAATACTGACCAACTGATGATGATGTTGTCCATCGACATCCATATTGATTCCGTGAATAATGTTAATTCCAAAATAAACGTTAAGTATAATTATGCAAATTTATGTAAATTTATGTATATTAATTTATTTTATGTATAAATATAAATTTATGTGATCCACACGCAAAGTTGTTCTTTTAATATTTTATAGTATGATTTAGTAAGGTTTCGTAAGCCGATTTCGTTAAGTGTTATATATTTTTAATTGAATTCTAGAAAGTAAACTGGAAATAATGTGATATCTGTTTGCTGAATTAAAATGATTTCTTCTATAGCAACGGCACCCTAAAAAGATCTACTAATATCGTTTCTTTTTTTAATAAGATTACATAATATATTAGTAATAAACTTGCAGTTCCCAGCGACTTCGCCCGCGTTTTAGTGTTTTTATGTTTTTGCGCGAAATCCTAATTCTTTTTCTAAAATAAAAGTAGCCTACTTAGGCTACTTTTATACTCCTTATGAAATCAGCTATCTGCCAGTGAAAATCCCGTCAAAATCGGTTCAGCCGTTTCGGAGATTAGCCGGAACAAACAGACAGACAGACAAAAATTTTAAAAGTTGTATTTTTGTTATAAGTACCGTATTTACTTTCATATGCATTTAGTAAAAAAACTGTAATTTTCACATTACAAACAGACACTTCAATTTTATTTATTTGTATAGATTAAGCCGAAGACAGGGATCAAGGCTGACTGACTCTGCCCTCTGAACCCTGTCTCCAAGATATTCTTTATATTTCCTTATCGATTATTATTGTACAGTATGTTAATTGTATTTGTAATTAAATACCGGTCTATATTGTTTCCAACAACTCGGTTTAATACCCTTTTGATCTTTATGTTCATACATTTACTACAGCCATTAATATGAGAGCTGGTTAATTAATATTTAAATTTCCAGTTTCCCTTTTCATGTTATTTACACCCAAATTGATCAACGTGATAAGTACAATAAGCAGCTTTAATTAAAATTTTAATTTCGGTACATCCAGCATCAAAAATGTTAAATAGCTCTCACATCAGAAACACCTGCGTTAAGCCAAGCTCAAAATTTTGTTTCCGTGGTTTAAAAATGTAAAAAGCTTTTTCTACTCAGAATCACAGACTTAAAATAGGCGGTAAATTTGAATAGAATTTTGAAAGGAAATTAGTTTTCGTTTTAATACGGGTTTCTGTATATATTATGTCACTAAGAATTGATCTAATTTGCTGGTGTTAAAGACAATCAAATTAAATTCCTACGATTCGCGTTCAAAAATAGAATAGCAAGTATATATTACGTGTAGTGGCGGTACACTTAACAAATATGAGGTGAATGCTACTAGCACTAGCTATAACTTGGTGTCCTCAAAACTAGTACGCCCTGAGGTACAACAACAGGATCGTCTTAAAATGGCTTGCAGGACATGCGAACAAAAGTAACATGATTTGGACAAGAACCATATATTGGAAGGTTTTGTAGTTTAACCCAATTTATCCTTGAAACTCTTTATCATATTCTTGACAAGTAATCTCAAATACCAGTCCTAAAATATTCTTAAATATTAACACGACGACAAGGCACGGGTACAGTTTATTTATAATTTTCACCTCGCTACTATTGATCCAGATTCTCTATACACATACATAGAACTGAAAAATCTATCCAAACACGAGGTTCTCATTTTGTGCCGCAATAGTCACTTTATTTGGAGGTGAGCTGTCAGCACTTTTTGTTAATAATTTAATTAAAAAAATCAGAGCTAGCAAAGTTCTGAATGCTTTATAAAGACTACTATACCGAGCTAAGACCCAGAGCAATAGAAATAGAAATAATTCATATAAAAGATAAGTATGAGAAAGGGACACGTATCGTCGAAACTAAAAAAAAAACGATTAAGGTGATTCAATTTGCAATCACAATAGACTCGAGATAGATCTTAAGATGATAAGACACAAGCAGAGGGGAAGATGAAAACCAACTTGGTAAGATTAAGTCTCAGGAAATTTTGAGTAAGTAAAATGTGAAATGTGCATGGCTATCTGTATAATTTAGAATCGGTTTAATAGATTTTTTGAAATAATATTCCTATCAATTCTCTAGTCCTTACTTTCATGAAGTCTATACCCAAGGCACAGGGACTCTAGTAATGGTAAAGCTATAGGCTTCGTCTATTGTTACAAATTGAGCCAAATATGATCAGGATTCTGCAATAGTTTCAAAATGCCGCTTGAAATAATTAGTGTGGTTTGTCCCTACGCATTGCTAAGTATTCTGGGTGCGCAATCCACGGATAAGTTTTCATCCCTAATCGTTCAGTAAAGTGTTATGCACTCTGCCTGTCGAAATCTTCGTTTCTTTACGAATAAAACGTGTTACAGTAGACACGACGATCTTTTCTTAACTTTCACCATTTCTTCGATCATTGCAATCGTAGGGTGTCTTAAGCTAATTCCATGTTTGGTGATTGTACTTCCACTTTTATATTCGGCGCACTAATGCGCAACTGTAGAATATGGTGAAGCATTGAAGCCTAATGTCCAAGACATGATTTACTCACAGGTAAATACGGCTAGAGCCAAGGTCGCACGGACTGGCGGCGCTGAGCTTGCCTTTGCAAGCACCACTTATTTACAGAAAATAATTTGGTTTAATATTCTTAATAAATATATGTCGCATATTAAGCTTGATGCATATGCCGCAAGCATTTTACTTGCTAGGGTGTTATCATACGGTCATACCAATCGAACAGTCGTCGATCGATGCCATCGATCGGTGGTGAAATGAATTAGTCGACGTCGATCGATAGTTAAGGCCACACTGAGCTGGCTGGGTGAACGCACCCAGCCCTGGCCGACAGTGTTCACTTGACCGGACTTCATTACATACCAGTGTCCAAATTTTTAAATTTTGTAGGCTAATTTCGCAACGAAAATATTCGAACTGCGAATACTATGAAATGTTACGGTGCTATATTTTAAGCAATGAAAGTTTACGTGGTGCGCAAAGATTATATGAAAGTGATTCTTTGCCACGTTTGCAAAGACAAGAAATTAACACACGTGTACCACCTAATCTGAAAACATTTTTAGCAGCTAACCAAAGGCTTATTTACGCAAATTTTTAAAAACTGCAAGAGAGTAATCACTTTTTACATTTTGAACTTAATGATTAAATTTGGCTAGTCTTTGAAAAATGACCATGTATATAAAACATAAATGTAACACTATTTAGGGAATTTCGTCCTTTAGCGCGTCCCTGTAAGCCAGAAATCGGGAGTGGGAAAGTCTCTTTGTATTTTGCAAGAACCTGAAATTAGTAGAATTTAAAGTTCGTCGACCTATTAGACTCCAGATGCTGCAAATGCAAACTAATCGGATCGTCTATGCGGCATTGGCTTAATGAAACGTAGGACGCCTTCCCCTGACGTACTTTTGTCCAAACGGGAGATGTAGAGCTATATGGTGAGCTCCACAATACGCAGAGTTGTACTTGCGTTTATTTTGGCGGTCCCACGCTGGTGATAGACGGGTCTCGACCGAGGTCTCTTTTCAACAAAAATAAACCCATCATTATCGATCTTATTTCGGGTCACCACAGGAACTGATTTTATATCAACATTTTTTCGTTTTAGATCACAAGAGGGTGCCGGACGTGAAGTTTTTTGGGCAACATTCTCAAATGTCTTCCCTTGTCGTAAGGTTGGCTTTTTTGGAGGAGTATTCATAGGTTCAGTCAAGAGCTGAAGGGGAGTTATATCCTCCGACCGAGGTCGCCCTAGTTTCACGTTCATCGACCCACGGTATCGTGTGGCGGAGTTGCAATCATAGGTGAAATATTACTACTATAACGGTTACCGCGTATCGTATTTACATTCTACGATGGCAGTGAATTCACAGATGTTGCAATTATGAAACGCATCATAGTGTCTTCCTTCCTCAGCTCTGTTGCGGCTCGTTACGATTCTTTAAATTTGAAACGAATGTCGATGACTTTGGCTTTCAACGTGGTGATGTCTACGTGATCGAACGTCACGGGAGGCGACTTGTTGAGTTCACGCGCGACGAAAGATAGGATGTCTCAAGGGTCGGTATCATTGAACAGCCGGAAGATGTCTTGTGGGTGTTTCTTACCGCGTCCATCCCTGTGGTGTATAAGAAGACGAATTTTAGTCGCGACTGAGTCTGCTAACACCTCATGTCAGTGTTTTCATTATTTATTTTTAAATTTTATTTAAATTTCTTATGTTTAAATAAACTATGAACATAAAAGTCTTAAATTTAATCTCGATTACCAGGGACTAATGCCACATCGAATCAAGGCTACCTGATGCAAAAATCCCCAGCAGTAATGTTGCTTAAGCATCAAGTCCCAGATGTCATAGCTGAGGTGCCACTACGGGGAATAAACATTGCTTATCAAGGCGAAATAAAACTGACTTTACATGAAGAGTGTTTAATTCCGGGATATCATTTCTTCTACAAAGGGGTAAAGTATTCATTTTACTCTTAGTAATTATACTCAAATTTCAATTAAGTCAACTGTAGAATAGGCCTCTCCATAGACAACAAAAACACGGTCCTAAGCAACCTCCATCCATTGACCTCTGCATGTTTCATCAGGTCGTCACTCTTTCTAGTCGCTCAACATTGCGCTTGCCAGGACAACACTATATTACATTTCATTATTAGGCAAATAATAATAATTATGATGCGAGAGATATATATTCTTATTCTATAACTTTATTTTCCATATTTATTCTTAATATGTGTATTTTATTTCGCATTATTCTTTTAAATTTATCTTCTCATTAAGCATAATTCACTATTAAAATATAATGTCATTCACTATCGATAATCTGTCTACTGTTATAAAATAAGTGAGACAACGGACTAAAAATGAGGGACAAAATGTCCACACGTGGCAGGATTGCAGCTTAACTCGCCCATCTGGCTGTAAAAACAGACTTTGTGCATTTGGTTTTATTTTACTGTTCTTGTTTGATAGTTCTTATTTTTAGAAATCAAACATGTGGTTTCCAATTGTGGTTGGCGCGGAGAGTTTGTTGATAGAGTTAATGTTATGATTTTTGTATTATTAACAAATTTATAAAATGGTTAGGTGTTAAAAATATAACCTAAAAAACACATGATATGATAAAAATGAAGAGAGTAGAATTGGATTTTTCTTTATTAAGTCAAGCTCAAAAGTGAAAACAAACATATCGAAGAAAAATTATTGTCATTCTAGTGTTCTAATTTAAAATGAGTTATATTGTATATAATCACTAACATCTAGTGCTAGTGGCAACTAATTACAACTATTGTTACAAGTGAGTATTTTTTTTTAATTTGCCATAACTTACGAAATACTCAATAGAAGTAATTTTGGCGCATACATTATTTTTATTACACAAAAAACACGGTCGACCCTCAGTCTGACTCAAATTAGAGGGCATTTATTTGTTTCAGAAGGGAATAAAATGATGTAGTTTAAGTGCGAAGTATGTAGTCGAGGTGCGCGGATGAATTCTGATTTATTTCTGGCTTTTTTTCGTCACATGAACCAAAAAAGCAGCCGTCAAAAAATAAAAGGAAAATAGACAACGTTGCGGCCGCAATATTACAAGAAATAAAAGAAGAACAGAAGAGTTTTCTTTACGTCTTTTATACCATATGTTAAAGTTATGTCAGAACGAGGGAAAATTCAGCTACAAATGGATCTTCTGTCTAGTATACAAAAAGTTAATCAAAACCGGGTCCTTCATCAACGTGTGCAATTACCATGTGTTCTCGTAAACGCTGCACCTGGATACAGTAGATCATATACCAAACATGGCTATTCGATTCAAAGCAATTCAATAAATTCTTCCTCACCTATATTACTGCCATCTCCTTCACATACAAGCAACTCCAATATTGATGTACCAAGTCCACAATCAGTTGTAATTCAAGAGACATCGACTTCAAGCAACTCCTACATTGATGCAATTCCTACGTTGATGTTATAGAATCCCATACTAACTTTCAGCAACTTTTCAATAAATATTCCGATTTGTAAGTTTACCTTGTCCTGTGCTATTTCTTTTCCATTTTGATTATAATACTCGTACATTGTATAACGTCAATATCTGTTTCTGATTAAAATACATTTTCTAAGGAACTTTCTTTTATTATTACTAAACTAGCTCATTGCCCGCAACTTCGTTTGCATGCAAAATAGCAAAAATCACAAATTTAAATTTTCCCATACAAATTCCCATACAATTTGTAACATTCTGTGGCATTCTGTATAATAGGATTTTCCAAAAACCTTTCTTATTGCTCACCTACGCCATGAATGGTATCTAACCTCTAAAAATGGTGCCTCTGCCTTTAGTCGTTTGGGCTCTAGTGTATACCATAAGTCAGGCAAAGAATCTTATATAAGTATAAATAATAATAATGTATGGTGGCCAGTGTATCAAGTTAGACACACTAGCACTCTGCGCCCCATTATCTTTTGGGCTATTTTAAAAAATAACTGTGTCTAACTTGATGTGCTGCCTACTGTACATGTACAGTGTAGAGCACCAGCCAACAAACGTAAATGATAGAAACCAATGATTAAAAATAATACGATAGTAAACTTACCTTAATGTTACAGCCAGCATTTCTTTAGGCCCCACGAAAGTGTGTTTGTTTGTGTTCTTGTTTCTTGATACTGTTTGTGAGATGAATTAGCAAATATTCGAATGTGGATTCACTCCTACGAAAGTAATTAAAAAACTTTCAAGGTGCCTCTTGTAGCTTGCTAAAAATAGTATAAAATGCTCCTTCTGAATATCTAACTTCCACAATAGGATGTATATCCACGTACTGTCTGTGGACAGATCTTATTTTGCGTTTCAAATATAACAGATACAGCAAATAAAGTCTTCTATTATAATCTGCCATTACGAGCTTTTCGTTTTCGCACAATGCTATCGAGCAAATGGTCGTATCAGAACGATATTGTCGGAATTATGTGAAAACAGCACATGATGTTGGCTATTCGGGTATCGGCTATTGGAGTCCTACACTTATATCGGATCGGATAATCTGAAAACGCTCTTACTCCGCGATGTCTCCTCTAGTACCTACGTAGGCAGTACCTACTAGTACATAATATCTCAATGGGTTTTGTAATTCTGATTCTGTACTCGATAGATGTCGACATCTTATGTAGATACAAATAATTCAAAACATTGATACAATTTTATAAATTTTGCAGATTCATCTGTATTTAAATTTTGTCAGCGAACGTGATTGTTGGTAAAACTTTATTTTATTTTATTTTTATAACAGTATTTAAGCAAAAAATGTACCTTTTTTTCTTTAGGACAAAATAACACAGGACAAATTTTTGCTGCAAAGAAACATGCGGGTCCAATTTATGAACGTAGCGAAAAAGTATTTATATTGTGACACACTAGAGATTAAATTCCAACAAGGACTCATTCACCTCGGATTCGAGGGACATACTGATAAGACCACGTATATATGCATTCATGACGTAAGTAAAATTCTAATTTCTATTTGACCCACCCATAACTTTAGGCCCCAAAAGTACTCTTTCCAAAAACTTTGTAAGATTTTTGAAAGTAGATGACTGGTGTATTAAATAAAATGTGTGGTACCTACAAAAAACTTTATAAATTTTTCTCTCAGGGCGTATATTGTTTATACAAGCGGGTGCTGCTGCTTTAACGAATTTCAGAACGGTTGGCTAACTTTGTATTGTGTGACTTCTTTTTATTCCTTTAAATAAAATAAAAAACATCGAAAGGAATACAGATTTCAGCATCAAAAAAAGGTGGCAACTGGCAACTATAGTAACAGCTTATAATCGGTACGTTGTTGTTCGTAATTGGTTACGTTGGTTCATTCGTTGGTTTGTCTGATTGACTGATTAACGAATATTTTGATCTAGAATAGTGACTTTGTAGATCTTCGTGACAATTTTTAGATCAATTAAATCTTCATCACTTAAGAATAATAATTAATAACAAAATTAAACAATCCGGCACTGCTAGTCAAGTATAAAGCTGTTATATCTTGATAAACATTTAATCTTAGTAACAAACTATCTGTAATTTTAATATGTTTATTTGATATTTTTCAGCCGGACCGAACAGCTCAGCCATGTCACGTAAGTTATATTTATTAGGAAATATCCATTTTCGATATTGGTACTATTTAAAAGGCCTATATGGACTGCTGCAGGCTGGCGACGATTTTTCCGAACAAATTTGGGAAATGGATAACATATTCCTTTGTGTACTGTGTGTGATTAATATACACAGCTATCTTGGCACTATTGCTCAAACTACATCATCGTTCATCACCTTCAGCTAAGGTATTTTTCAAAATTTAAAATTGTTAATTGCAAATCTGTGCGAGGCCAAGTAGCCGTGTTCATAGCCGACCTTTATGTAAAATAATACGAATAATGACGTCATTACGTTGTCTTTAGTATCAGGATTTGATAACAATCCAAGTTAAAGTCGGTAACAAAGCAACCTTCTTAGTGGACTCGTGTCTTGTACAATATTTAATAAATATCTATATTGACTAAAATATTTATTACCTAATACCTTTACAATGAAACTATAAAATTTATTTACCTACATTTGCTCAATGGTCTACTTACATCGCTTATTATTCTTGATGACTATAGTAGCATAATAACTTCCATCTTCCCAAGGTTTATGAACACATAAGGACCAATTATTGTAATAGCTAACTTTTGTTCACCAATATTTTGAATAAATAACCTAAAGGTTTATGTGAGGAGCTTTTGTGTTAAAGTGAGGCTTATTTTTGTACTTTTGGCTAAAGTTTTCGTATAGAATTTCGTTTAGCATAAGCTAAGATCTTAGTGGCTTTTGATAGACGGTAGATTTTCTTTTTATGACAGATCTTATCATCTTTAACGTGGTGGAGCCACACTACAGCTTTATTCTAGTTGCATCACGTATAGGTCGGCTGGACCGGGCAAGGACCACAGAATACCAGCGGGAAATAGCAGGATTATGCTTTTGTTTTACATGGTAAGTGACAAGAATCAGAGACCCTGTTTTACTAGAGACGTGGGACACCTTAGTCCTCAGTGGTACGTATTAGCATTTTCATTCTTAATCACGAAGAAATGTAGGTGTCTATGCGTCACAGCATTCACTTGCCATCAGATGGACTGTGTACTCGTTTGTCACCTTTACTTTTATAATAATTTAAAGTACCCGAACTACATCGACGTCAAGCAGACACAAAAAAAAACAATCACAAATCCGCCAGACAATGATAATAAAACCTTTCCGTGCGCTGTTTATGGACAGATTGTATGGAGCAGGGCCACTGCAGCACATAGACGTCTGCAATCAACCTCAAGCAATAAAGTCTACAGATGCGTTTTCACCCCTAAGATTATTTTTTAGCATAAAATAAATGCCTCACAGCCAATATTATATTAGTATATATCGATTGTAATTATTAGTATAATATCATACTGACACGCTTACCTTCCGAACCAGAACATAACAGTGGGTCTCAGAAGAGGTTTCTTGCAGAAGCAGCATTGAAAATTTTTTAGGAATATCGCCTCAGTCTTAGGACAACCCACTTTGATTTTCATTAAAAATCGTAATACAGACTAAATCAATATGTAATTTTAATTTTTAATGACCCAGGGTATGTATGGAGCGCCATTGATATGTCAAGGAAAAGTAATTGCAATGTTGATGGCACCGGATGCTCAGTGGACGAACTGCACCGGTTTCAGTAACATCGTCCACCTTTTCAGCACCCATTTCTTACGTGACTACATGGATTGTGTCAGCAGGTAAAGTAATAAACTACTGTGAATGAATAGGACTGTATGTTAATATAAGACCTATTAGTATAAGAATTCATTTTGTGCGGAAGGTAAATCAAACTTTGGAATTAAGAACAGCATAAAAATATTTAAAAAATTGCTCGCTTTCTCAAAAACTCAGCCTCAGCGGAATAGTATTCTACACAACTATATATATATATGATAGATGTTAACATCTATTTTTATACCAGTGACAAACAAACAAGCACTCAATTCACCGAAAGTGTATCGTGATATCTCGAGATGGTAAGTGGATGATGTGGCCCATAGACATACATCTATTATATCGTTTGAAAAACAAAATGCATGAGCGTCGTCACCTCTGCGAAGTAAGATAAAATGCTACGTTATAGCTCTTACAATTCACAAGAGCGTGCTTAAATTGTGGTAAAGACTTAGGCTGTGTACGTGTCAGTGTGCGTGAGAAAAAAAGTGGGTATGGGTAGTTGATTAGTGAGGGCAGGCTCCCAACTGATCGCTCCGCCAGACACTCACACTACTGCAATGTGTATGTATGTACACCTTCAATCACATGTAAAGCCAGCTCGACTTGGTGAATTGCTAGAACTTTACCAGTAAGTCTCCGGTTCTCAGCACTCACCATACGAAACGGCATGTTACTCAGTTCCCTTTTATTCACCACTTGTATATTCTATTTTTATCGCATCTACCACGGGGACTGCTTAGAGGAATTGTTCTAATTCCAGCGGCTAAATTTCACCATCACTCAACTTGACAAACCTCGCGGTACCATCCATAACATCTGAATGTTTATCGGTCCACCACTGTACGATTTACGAGGTTTTCTTCCTCACACAACTACCTTGTAGTATCGACTACCAACAGCGATTTTTCCGAACCGATACGACTTGGGTACCTTCAAGAGCCTACTCCTTTTTAAAAGGCCGACAACGCATCTGCAATTCCCCTGGGGTTGCAGATGTTAATGGGCGGTGGTAGTCACCATCAGGTGAGCCGCATTCTCGTTCGCCTCTTCTTATGGCTCAGTCACACTGTGCTCCTCGCGCTGCCGCGATGTTGCCCTCTCTGGCTATAGACTGCTCTACTCGCGCAATTAATCGCGACGCTCCACACTAAATCGCTCGCGTTTGCAACACAATGGCAGAATGTGCGCTAAACACGTATTTAGTTATAGCTAATTATATCAATGCCATAAAAAAAAATCTTTATTGACATAAAAATGTTACAATATTTTTTTTTTGAAGTCCCTGACTCCCGAGCTAGGTTAAAAACCTGTGTTACGGGAGTCAGTGCGATCTCCCTAATATAAATGACAGCTAAACTATTTTATGTAAATAAAGTAATTTAATTCTATTTGCGTGCATGCATATTTCCGCGAGGTGTGTGTGTGTGTGTGTGTGTGTGTTAGTGTGCGAGTGTGTGTGTGTGTGTGTGTTAGTGTGCGAGTGTGTGTGTGTGTGTTTTTGCGTAAGTGGATATGTACGTGCGTGAGTGCGCAAAAATAAATATACAGCGTCGTTTTCGTCAACGGAGATGGTGGATGACATCTACTCATCGAAATAGAACGACCCTTCCGTGACGAGCGCTCGATTCGGACTGCGTTTGCGCGAGTATGTGGCCAGCCACTCGCGCTCATTTTGCCAGTCCTTTGACTCGTGCCCAAAAAACCGACAAAACAGAGAGCGATGGGCATGACGAGGAGCATGACGTGAAGCATGACGAGTATTGTGGCCACACTACGTCTCTACTTCCTTTCCTCGCTACTTCCCATACCACTCGATGAGTGTGTAGCTGGGGGGATTAGATACATAAAAAAAAAATAACTGGCAACCGAAGATGAAGTATCATTCTCGAATGGCAGCTTCGTACTAGAAAACGCAGTGTTGAGAGCGTGGATAAGTGGTTGTAATTACGCCCCGATGAAACACGCAGGAAGTCAATGAATGCAGGTGACACAGGACCGTACAGTATAGAAGAGTTTGTGGAAAACCTATGTTTAGCAGTGACTTTGCTCTCCACAGCGGTCCAAAAACTCGCGACAACTTTCTACGCGCTCGTGTTTTTGATGCGCAGAAAGAAATCTCGGAACCCATCTTGCACAGACTTAGGATGTTTAAAATGGTTGTTTCTGATACTCCAACTAATGCTGCAAGCTGTTTCTCTTTAGCCGAACATCTTCCGATAAAAGATTTTCAACTTTTTTGATTATTTCTGGCGTGGTAGCCTCAATCGGCCATTCAGGTCGTGGGTCATCTTCAATGGAGTCCCTCCCTTGTTTGTAAAGGGCGTGCCATTTATAAATCATGGTTTTTCAGGGGCGGAGTCTCCATAAATAGCTGACATCTCTTGAAAAAATAGTTTGACGTGTCTTTTTCTTGTTTGATGAGAAATTTAAAGCGATATTCAATTTTCTACATAGTGGTTAGTTTCTTCCCGATTGACTTGTATACTCGTTGACAACTCAAAAGCTAATGACCCGATTAGGCTGAAATTTGGTATATATACTAACAATGAGTCACTCAGCTAGCGCCTACCTGGATGAATAAACTCACCCTCGTCAACCCTGCCATTCCGCGAACTTTTTGACCTCCCTTCGTACTTACTATCAGGTGAACTGTGTGCTCGTTTGTCACCCTTATTACATAATAAAACTAATGCAGAAGCAAAATTACCACTATTTAAAGGATTAAATTCAGACTAGTTCCATGTTGGTCTGAGCCTTACAAGTCCTATGTTTATGTGTCTTGATAACAATAAAAAATGTGCCAGGTGTGTTGCACGTCGTGAAGGCTGTTAATAGTATATTGGGTTTGTGCTTGTGTAGGCGTTGGGCCACCTATAACTTCCTTTATAATATTCCATCTAACCCCATATTTTAGTCTACACTAGCTCGCCAGGCAGACGTTGTTCTGCCCTTTCCAACGACCCTTCCTATAAAAATCCTTAAATTCGCAATAAAAAATGTTGAGGGTAATTTATCGGGATAAAAACTATCCTATCTCTCAAGTTATACCAAAATGCACACAGTGTGCAAAATTTCATTGAAATCACTTCAGTAGTTTAGGATTCCATCGCGGACAAACAACGTGAGACGTAGTTTTTATATATAAAGATTTAGCCCATATTTGGTCAGAGTAGCTCACAGATTTTTTGATTTCGCTTCGAGGATTACAGGCGGTGACATATATACATTTATGTATTTAAATTCTAAATTATTCTAAATTTAAATCTCACAAGAACCTCAGGCCATTCTATTTTAGTCCTCTGTGGTCAAAACGGATCAGCATTTTGATTCTTAAGCGAGAATAGATGTGATATTTAATTAACAGCATCTACTTACCGTCAGGTGGAATTTGTTACCATTTATCACTTAAAAAGTTATAATTAGATGATACAGATGATGGGAAATGGTAATACAATAAAAAGACAATCTCTTATTGCAACATCAATTCTATTTAATAAATTAAAGCATTTCAAAGTTTTTTAATTCAATAAAAGTGCCATACTGAGTTGGATAATAACAGTTTTACTTTAACATCAAAGGAAACATCAATTTGAGTGCCAAAAGATAATTCAATTCAAGGCAAGTGAAAATATACATTCATAATTAAAAATGATTTTAAGTAATCCGACATCAATTTACTACTGTGGACAGAAAGAAATCATGATATTTTTTTTCATTCGTTTATTTTACATGGACAATATTTAAGACTGAACTTTTACTGATTGACAGGCAACATTAGATCTTAAAATCACTTTATCAACGCATCGTTTAATAATTCTTTCTAAAGTTTTTGTGTGAATTTCACATATACATCACTTATAATAATGATAGTACTTAATAATGAAAGTAAGCATAATATAAATTATTTTCTAGCCTTTTCTCACCCGAATTTTATTTGGAGGGGGACGCACTGAAGAGGTATATTTATGATGACAAGGAAGAGGAGTATGACTACTTACCGGAAATGTATGACACGATAGTAAGCGAATCCACCAGCACAGAAGAAGTTCATTAGTTTAAGTTGTCATTATTCTGCTAATTCAACTATACCTAAGGCAATATAAATAAATACTTATATAATAAAATTGTTTGGCCACAATTCATTTCAATAAAAATATTCATTTATAAACGTTTAAGTGCCTATATAATACGAATTAATTAATTTGAAAACTTTGTGATGTTTACGTTTTATTTTATTGGAAAATACAGAATTTTGTTGATTTCTAATGGTTAAAGACTATCGAACTAGCTGCAATATTCGTAAGTAGGTTATGAACGTGTGTCTATTCATTTCACACGAATAATTAAAATTGTTCACAAGTGGCATTCACTAGTGGTGGTGGTGAAATATTACTTTGTGAAGATCATAATATTGTGTGCTATACATTTTTCTAACTTTATTCCACAAGTATTATTCTCTACAATGATACTCTTACAAATGTTCCTTAATCAATAGAAGTTACAAATCGTGTCACGTAAGTCTAGCGCTGAACGAAACGTGGAGCGGACGGCCACGAATTGAATTGCACGAATGCGATTGGTAAGCCAATCAGCGTGTGCGAACGATACACATGAGGCAATCAGCGCGACTTATGCGAAATAAGCCAATTAGCGCGATTTATTCGCAATAACGGTCACCGCTAGACTTTCGTGCCGCTAGTGATAACTTGTATGTTGTATATACACATTTATTAAATTAAAATCCTGTACATCCCTGAACTTATAACCACTGTATTCTTTCTCTATTTAAACTACAGGAGCTTATATAATTTTCTAAGAAAAAAATAACAATTTCTACATAACTCGTTTTATTAACAAGATTATAAATTAAAAATATATATACCAAGTACAATTATTACTATTATTAGGTTTAAAGATAACCATTATATTAATCATACATATATAATGACAAATATTAGGATGAATATATATGTGTTTATGTGTATGTCCACAGTAGTGTCATTTATTGTATTAGTTAAATAATTATGGAATAAACGCGTAAACTAATTAAAGCCAAATACTTCCGACACTGCCTATTTTCTAATTGTAATAAAATATGTTTACAATTTTGATCGCTATGTTTTACGTTATTACACTCTATTAGGGTATTAGGTACCACACCAACCTACTGATCAATAGCGTCGAACGACGATCGACGCTATCGATCGACGCTATTGATCGAAAATAAATATATATCGAAATATCAATATTTTCTAATATAAATACCGATATATATCGTCGACATTTTTTCACGATAGCATTCATGTGCAGTTGTCGTTTGTTTTCGTCGTGCAACCAACAGTAATTAAATTTTCGGTCTTATCCTAGTACATCATGCAAATGATGAGTATATATCGATATTTATTATGCAATATTCATCGATACTCTTTGAAATATCGATACAATATATATCGATATTTTTCTTCACATCGATCGATGTAGGGATGGGCATCCCTACATCGATCGATTGGAGTGGTAACACCCTCAAAATGACTTAAGGCGACACCGCGAAAAAATGCACCTCCTTTCATCGAATAGTATAGGAGTATGACACGACTAACGAAACTGAAATTTTGATATAGGTAAATTCATGTATTTTATCTTGAGTTTGCTTGCTCAAAAACACGATTGTAAAATTTTGACTCGATCATAATAATTTACATTCAAAAACACCTCTAAAAATCACTATAGTTGAAATTACAACGAAATTACTTAATCTATATGCTTGGAAACCACTCGAATACATTCATAACATCAATATTCGTAATTTACTTGCTCATTATTTTGATTGCTAAAATCAATAATTTTTTTAAAAACATTTTAAGATTCTACGCGATTTCTAAGCGCTTTTAATAGTCGCGGGCGCTACGCAATTTTAGACCTTATGACGGCGTTTTTGAAGTTTTTATAGAAATTATGTTTTACTCTGGTTAGTCCGGCGATAGCCCACTTCAACGGTTTTCGATGTGTCGCCTTAATTTCACATACACACTGATAGCGGGTACTAATTTCTCTAAAGTTATCAAAGAAACGGTACCGTTATTAAAATGTAAGACGAAATACACTCACTATAAAGCCGGTCTTAAGCATGTATGGATCTTGAAAGATTTGCTAGAATGACTATTTTCAAATACTTTTACACATTTGTGAGTACAATTATTTAAAATAGACACCTTAGCAAAGCTTAGGTAGCAAGGGTACATAAGAACTAATTACCTGTTTACTTCACTTGGTTTATTAACTTCCTTCTGCGTAGCATTGAAAGGAAGTTAATGGTTTTAGCTGGCAGTCTGTTAGTCTGTATGCCGACACGATAACTTCCGTTCCACTGGACCGATTGACTTTAAATTTGGTATGTGGATACCTTGAGGTAGTAGCTCGGTCGAGTTTGAATTTGGGTCCTGAAGGTCAAAGGGCACCAGAGATATGGAATTCACGAAGAAGGAAGTTGTTTTTCTTGAATTTACATTCAACTCGTTATACTCTATGGCTGTTCAAAAAATACCTATTCCTTCTAAAAGAAACGTTAGATTTAGCTTAGACTTCCGCAAATAGAGGCTATTCTTTAATCACGTGCGTTTTTTTTGGCTAATTCTATACTGTTCTTCTCTACCGTGATACACCGTGACATTTTGGGCTACCCCTCCTCTCATCATCACGTATATTTTTGTTAATGAAAAGATATTTTTAGTCTGTTTTAGTAAAAAAAATATCAGAAAAATAGATTCTGAAGAACTATAAAATGTTAATAATATTGAAAATTTAGTTGATAAAACGTAAATATTATACACGTTACTCATTATAACAAATTTTATCGTCGCATGAAAAATACACGTGATATTCACATTATCCCCCCCCCCCCCCCACTCTCCCATCGGTATAAATCGTGATTTTTCCCATTTGTACGAACCTCACGTGATTAAAGAACGACCCCAAGGAGAATTACGTTTTTCAGATTTTATTTTAAAGAGTAAGTCAAGTTAGATTCGTCTATAGACATGGAGTGTCATAGGCGACATTTTATGGTAATAATAATAAATATAAATACATAAATGTAGGGTAAGAAATAAGGGAACAGGTATAACATAACCAGTCCCTGAAGTACTTAGTGTGATATAACTATTTAACAAAAGAAGGCTCACTCATATGATATCATATTATACTCCAAATTGGTAGTTTCCATTAAGAATCAAAATCTTTGTGGTTTTAATTTTTGCCACAAATCAAATTTTTATAGTCTAAAGAGACATATCTTTTAAACGAGAATGATTACCAAACTTGTAGCAGCTCACCATAACTTCGGTCAACCATCCCGCCCTCAAAAGTAACGAACTTCTATAATTAGTCTCGCTGAAGTTTGAACTTAAATTGATCTAAAATTCAAGCTGCACTTTGAGATTTCACAGATCTATTAAAACAAAAGCATTTTCGTTGAAACAAGCAACTTTTCCATGATTTTTCACAAATTCAGTCTTATTGTTTATTGAAACACTGTAAATTCATGACTCTATCTCTACATGTAAACAAGGCTTCATAAGATCTATCATTACTAAAAAAAATTAGTACCCGATCAACGTGAATGTGACATATATGTGTGTATACTTTCTATATTATATCTACAACAATGTTTGTCGAATGGAAAGTGTTACCAGTAAATTAATATATTACAAATATAAGAAACTGTTGATACGTCTCTTATCAAAATATCTTTACAAACACAGCCATGTTATCGTCGTTCAGATTATAATGAACAATATCAATATTATCATTAACAGACCCAGTAGTATCCCGATGGCAAGCCACTGTCGTCGATCTGAAAACCATAATTATATATGATTAACATTTTGTCAAAAGAGTTCTCTAAATATATTTTTTTTTTACATTTAACAATAAGTAAAATCCGACATCAAAGGAGCTAAGATATAGTACAGTATAGTGTATAGAAGAATTGAAGCATCGACATCAGAATGTGAAGAAGTTTTTTTACCCTTTTAAATGGACTAAGAAATATCATATTTACAAATATTGTCTAAATATTTACATTAAACACTTCAACCCCTACTTTGCCACCCGTAGGGTTGAAATTTTTTCTCCAAATGTATATGAGACCATCCCTGAATTATAAAATATTTAATTAAAAATAGAAACATCAAAATCGGTTCGCAATAGGCGAGATATCGCGTAACGTACAAACAAAAAAAGCATACAGCGAATACATATAAGCCACCTTCTTTTTAGGTCGGCTAAAATGAAAATTAGTCATTATCAGTCCGTAAATTGCCAACATATGGATGCCGTCATGGTCCTTTAAGCAAGTGGATTAGCAGCCGCAGTACCAGACGCTGCACCCTGTCATTAGTGCGGGTATTTGAGTTTTGGTTTAGCAAAGATCTCTTTGCTACCATACGACACAATAAATAAATAAGAAACCTTAATCTCTAGGAAATGGATCGACAGCTGTTAGTCAAAAGAAACAGAGGCCATGATTAATTTAGCCAATTCTGCAAAGTTTAAAAAAGCTTCTTTACACGACGGCTGGTCAGTTAAGCGCTCGCCTTCAGCTGCATGCCTTTACCCATGTCGAATTACAACGACGTTAGTCATATGCAATAAATATAGGCCTAATTGAAAATCAAATTTTTAAACGGCTAAATTAAAAACCACCAACACGATTAAAAGTATTTTGTATGCAACTTGTTAAAGCATGGAATTCGTACAACATAGAATTTGTTTTTCATTCCGTCATCTGTGGTTCCCATCAGAGGCATATCTTGGTTGCTCCTGTGAAATGGCAATATTTCAAAAGCAGAAGCTGGCCCGTTCTTACAAATCGGCATCTATGGAAATACTTAAAAAGAAATAAAAGTCAATCTCTAGGTCCTTAAAAAGATTTATTGCTACGGCAACGTCAGAGCACATTGGTAGAATTAGTGAAAAACAAATTCGCCTTCTATGAATTTATGAACCAATAAATTCCAGACTCTTGCCAATCTCATCCAAGGAAATTTCTGTCAACCATCGCTTATATCTTTGTATAGAATGCCCAGTTGTTAGTCCAACTCGACAAAGAAGAGGAAAATAATCCTAATCTAGTATAGTATAGATAAGCCTAAAAAGCTTTTCCCACCTCAAACGACCACTCAACATTTATGGAAGACGTATTCTACGATTGACATAACTTTGAAAATATCATAAATTTCATTTAACCTAATATGGCAACTATTAATATTTACTCTTCTCATGTAAAAGCATGAAGTGCAGTTTGCTCAAGCGAACGACGAATGTACTTAGTGGCAGTGCGAGTGTATCCGCCTAGTCAAGCAAGGTGAGAATATGTAAATATTCCAATGAATGTTGCCAGCTCCTGCAATTTTGGTGTGAAATGTGTGAGCTGGTTTATCAAAATATTTTAATGAAGTCCCAAATTTAAATTAAGTGTTACTAAGCAAAAATTAACAATTAGAAAATATTACAAAATTTCTTCCTTTTGCTTATACTGCCACACCAATAATTAGAATAATTTTTAATAGTTTTATTAGAAATTAAAAGACCTTCTTAGCAGAATATGGGCTTACGCTCATTGTGAATTTCACCACGTTACTATTGGATTGATTGGATTTACCAGGTATTCGGCAATGAAAGAATACATCGTAAGGAAACCTGCATGTCTGAAAAATTTACCGTTCGACGACGGATGAAGTCCGCCTCCAAGGTTATAAGGCTGCGCGACAGGCTTTGCTAGGTGATACGACTCCTTTTCTGCCCATGAGATCGTATGGATTGACACCATCCTCTTAACAACAGAAATAAATAAGACTGTTGTGTTCTGGTCTAAAGAACAGTGTTTAATTTCAGGCTGCGAGACATTCCATCTTAGTCCTCCGAAGTGACAACGAATCGATTCTCTCTAATAATAAAGAATATATTTATTAAACCTTCTTTGTTTCAAGATCGTTGCAGATGTGAAGGTAACCAATCACCATTTTTTTACGTGGTAGAGCCATGCCGCAGTTATATTAGTAGTATAGTTGTAGCACGAATGGGTCGGCTCGACCGGGGAAGGACCACGCTCTCACGGAATACCAGCGTCAAATAGCAGCTTAACACTGCTGTGTTTCGTATGGTGAGTGTAGAGAACCGGAGACCCATTTGACTGGAAAAGAGGCATTCCATCTTAGTCCTCGCGGGTGACAACGCATCTGCATTTTGATTCGCAAGCGAGGATAGATGTAGATGTCTATGGGCCACAGCAACCACTTACCATCAGGTGGACTGTGTGCTCGTTTGTCATCATATCCTATAAAAAAAACATCTGTCGGACTGTAAGTCCACTTATCACTTTAACGTTTTATAAATTAATTGCTTTATAACTCCGACATGAGTGGAGACCCAAACTTATCAGCATCGACAAATTTATACTACAACGTTACCTTTTCGCTTTTGTAATATTAACATACCATTATTCATGTGAAGAACTTTTGCAACTTTCTTTATCGTCGAGTCCAACTTGGAATCTGCATTTTCCAGTTCCGTATTCAAGTCATCCAGCATCCTAACAGAAAATTCACCTTTTATCTACTAAAATACGTTGCAAAAATACATTGACAATGATAGATGTTTGATTGATGATGCACTTTTATGACCAATTTAATCCTTAAATTGAGGCTTGTATGCAAAGGGATTTTTAAAGATAAGTATCTAGAACCCATTCATGAGGTATTTTATATATTATTGATACACTTATTGTAAAAACCGTAAAACCGAAATACATAGATTAATTGTGCTTTTTGTATTTTACTTACAAAAAGCACAATTAATCTATGTATTTCGAATAAGTAGATTATTATTATAAATAAAGAATTCGATTGCTATTTTATGAACTATAAAGCGACTTTTTCATCAAAATGCGAGAATCACTTATGCTCGTAATACGTGATTCTCGCATTTCGTAGATCGTACCCATGTACTATAACATGTCATGCCTGGTGTACAACTAATAATAAATAATGATTTCTTATATTTACGCAAACACTACACATTGAATAAAACTACTTTTACGGATTTTATCGCGTTTAATTAAGTTATTTTATATTCCCGACGTTTCGGTTGCTTTCCAGCAACCGTGGTCACGGGGGACTAATCACACATACGGGGGGTGATTTAAAGATTGAATAAAATGATTTCTTATATTTACGCGAACACTACACATTGAATAAAACTACTTTTACATATTACATACATTTATAAAACTGCTTTCCAGCAACCGAAACGTCGGGAATATAAAATAACTTAATTAAACGCGATAAAATCCGTAAAAGTAGTTTTATTCAATAATAATAAATAATTTAACTCCATCCATCCATCCATCCATTCATTACAGCCTATAAAAGTCCGCTACTGAACATAGGCCTCCCTCATAGGTTGCCTCATGGGGGGATTATGCCGTATTGGTAGTTGCTACGTATGGCAAGCGGGTTGGCAACCGCAGTTTTTAATGATTTTAACTTGTTATCAGGAATATGCTGCTGCCCATCTCCTGTTTTATTTTTCCTCTGTCTTGTCATAGTGGATATTCGTACACCGCCACTACATAATTTAATTACTAAACAAGAAAAAAAAATAGTTTTTTAATTGTTTTTCGTAATACATTTTTTTTCCGTCAGTATGTTGTAAAACACCTGGTATTATGTCAACACACATTACCACGTAAACGGTCATATCTTCAAGATTGTTTTAAAGAATTTTGCCCGTACTTTTGAGGTCATTAACTTTAATATAGCTGTTTAAAATCCTTTTGCGTATAATTGCATGCTCAAATTTTTTCTCTGTAGAAAGTGAAAACATGCCTTGTGGTTGCTTTGTATGAGAATTCATCGGCCTTTTTAGTCCTGTGAGTGTCGAAAGAGGCGACTATGGGATATTCATAAAGAAATTTTCAAGATTCTGATAGATAATGAGTAATGACATAACCATTTTCGCCAGAAATAACATAAGAGAGAGAGAGAGCGAGAGAGAGGGAGAGAGAGAGAGAGAGAGAGAGAGAGTAAGCATAAGAGTAAAAACAGATATTGTAACAACTAAATTTGTTAGACATCAGTATACTAAGGAATCAGCTTATATAAAATACAAGAAGGTGACTAGTTCGATAAAAATATATTCTTTAAATAATTACGAATTAAAAAAGTTCCTAACTGACTGGATTACAATATTAAATTATGAAGAAATAGAGGTTATTCGGTTAAACCACTTAATAATGAAAAACAACACACACGTGTGTTGTGTACACACACACACACCCGCAACCACGCCCACGCCCATATTCATATATACTTAAGAGGATGTTCCAACAACGAATTAATGTATCTATTATAACAAACTGTATAATAATAAGTTTATTTTATTTAAATTTAACATACGGCTACTGAGAATGGGCGGCAAAGGTGTAAGACGTGCTACGATTAAAGCAAATCCTCCTTCCAAAGGGAGAGTCGTGTCCAGCAGTGGTTTTTTTCGGATTGATGATGAAGCAGAAGAAGACGATTGAGAAACAATTTCATTGTTTTGGAGTTAGTTTGAAACACTCGCCCTATTGAGATATTGAGAGAAAGTAATATTGAATGCGCTGTCAAAATACGGAAAAACTTTACAATCACCTAATGATCAGAGTATTTGCATCGCAGGACTCAAATAGGTACCAATCGGAGCCAAGCCAATATTAGTGCAAACGACTAAACAAATTAGACTTTTCGAAACAACAGTGCGATTTTGTTATTCTGGGGTAAATGTCCGAGTCGTTGTTATTGCAAATGCGCGTTATATCAGTTTGGAAGGGGTCTCAATTTCCGTGTAAACTTCGGATATTTTTAAAAGAGAAGGGACCAGCAGCATAAGATTATTCATTATACACAAGAATTTCGCAAAAAAATATCATATTTTATCAAGAATAAAACCGTAACTTACACAGCTTGCTCGTCTAGTTCGATGCCGATTTGCTTAGAAACAGTTTTCAGTGATCCCACGGAATTACTGATCACGTGCAACTGATCGTCCTGATTCATCAACATTTTCTCTTGCATCGACATGATATCATTGTCATACATGTCAAATCTGTTAGGACTGTCCGTCTGATTTGCCAACTTAGAATACTTAGAATACTTCGGTGTGGATGTCCATGAATTACCGAAATGCATAGGACTTTGTTCGCCGAGAAGAGGCTCGCGTGCAGTTCCATCATTATCGCGATTTCTATTCAAACTCATCTTGCCTTTCATTACCTGGAAGTTAACAATTCATGTATATGTTAAATATAAGTAAATATAACGGCATAACCGTACGTATATAATACGAATATACACGGTTGCAGTTTTTTACAATACAAATATCATAACTTTATTAGTAAATCATATTTGTTTATTTCTGTACTCTAATAAAATATATAATCATTTTTACAATTTTTTTCTGCTGCATTTAGGAGCTGGAGCTGAAGAACGTTATATGACACGACTTTACAACAATTCGCTTTGTAAAATGGCACAAATGTAAAGTAAATAAACATACGCACCGTTCAACGCCAAATTAAATTACACAAATAAGTAGTAATTAATGTTTCTAATTCTAAAAAAAAGTATGAAATATAAACAGTAATGTTATATTTTTAAAGAGTCTGCTAAAAATATTTAATTTAGTAAACTCCCACTGGCAAGCATGCACTTGCTAATAAGATTTCACATATCGTCGTTGATATTGCAATACGTTCTATGTCAGATTAAGTTGATTTTTCAGGAGAAACATAAAACGTTTTAGTGTCATAACGATTACTTATAGCGATTATATTTTTAAAATATATTTTCAATAAAGATATTTTTCATCATATTAGACAATAAAATATTAATATTAATACTTCATATCAGAGATTCAGTGACATAGAACATATTGCATTTCTGTTTTAGTGTAATAATTATATTTCAGTAACGACATACGACTTTTTTGTAACAAATATATACTGGTTATCCGAAATTTTTTCAGTCAAAATAAAAAAAATCTACTAGAATCAAAACGTTTAAAAATGTCTGTTTTGAAAACTTCTCCCCAATATTTGAAAAGGTTGTAAGTTATGAAAGGAAAATCAAACGTCGATTGAAGCAGAAAATACTTATTTACACTTAATTATCCTACAAATCACATAGTCATAACTATTACTTATAATATACTTAATATAATTTACTTTATTTTTTTAATATGTGGGCAGTCTGATGAGGAAGTATGGGAACAATTATGCTCCAGCAAATCATAAAATGCATGATAATCACTTGGTATAAGTGGTTTCATTTCTTGTAAATGAATGAACTTTGTCAACTCAATGGGCAAGTGAGAACTGTACAAAGCAGTCGGAGTAATAACGTTATTTGATGGTCTTTTTGGTAAATACTCATAGTCATCTTCGAAATTAAGTTTGTACTTAATTTTGCCTTCTGGCAAGTATAGTAGATTGCAAATGTCGGTAACTACTGGGTCACCTTTCTTATTCCCTGGTCTTATACTTGAATATTTGCCTCCATCGTATTTCCAGAAGTCGTCGTAGTTTAGAAACACCACATTATATGGATCTTTCCTAGCACTTTTCATGATTGTAATGTAATCGGCTGGGATATAAATTTCGCGATGTGCGGGTAGCTTTCTTTCGATTGCACTATGGACTGAATCTACTTCCATTTGAGTATGGCCAACTTCCAGGTATTTCTGTTCAATGGTCACGTTCTTTTCAATTGCCAATTCAAGTAGCGCGTTCGCTAATTTAACTGATCTATTCTGGTAACAACATCCATCACTCCATAAAATAATTTTGGTTACATTCGACCTTTCTAGTTCCGATCTTAGGTGTTTGATTAAAATTGAAGCAAACACATTGCTATCTAGACCTCCATTGCCTTCATGCCATAAATAGCAAAATACCTCTTTTGTTATTAAATTGTAAATTGTATAGTTATGAACTTTTAGTTTTGTTTTGTAGTAAGTAGCTGATGCTTGCATTCTTGGGCATAACAACACAGCTTGCATGTCCATTGTATAAACAGCTGTATCAGCTCCAGTATTTTCTTTATCCTTATTTTTCTCTTTTCTTGATCTTTCTTTTTTCTGCAAATGATTAGCATACTCGTCCGCAGCTACATTTCCGTTTCTAAATGCAATACATGTATTACATTGGTCTTTTCTGGTTTTATAAATGGAAAGATTCAACTCATGGAACTTCCTTGAAAAAGATGCAGAGCAATATTTTTTCTTGCTATGAGTGGAACAAAATTTCAGATATTCCGCGTACAAATCACCTGTTATGGTGTTCCAAACAGGTTCTAAATATAGTTTTTTGGTCGAAGATCTACAATAATGTGATTCTACTTTCGGCAATTTATCAAAGAATTCAACAATACTGTTGGGCTCTTCGGATTCATCATTTCGAATTTGTGGTTGAACTGGAGCAAGCACAGGCCCAGTATTCTTCAGTAAATTTTCTGTAAGCCAGTTTCGAAGCTGTCTTGAGCCGATAGACAAAGTTCTCATAAACATCACCTTGCAGACATGTATTCTTTGAACATTATTGTCTGATCGCAGCATTAAAAAATTTCCTTTCCTGCTGCTTTCGTTGTTAGAAGAACTACGACGGTATTGGGGGGTACTAACGGCAACTAAATTTCTAACATAAACTTTTCGTGCATCCCATGATTGTACGTTCCAAAATTCGTCGAACATTAACTGCCGGTCGTTTTCAGACAATTTCTCACACTCATATTGCTGTCGCGGGCCTCCATGCTGTATTTTGGAGTGACCATTACAGGCTTCTTGCAAGCCTTTAGCTGGACGTACAAGAGTTTGCTGATATTTGCCATCCTGGTCCTTTTGAAAACCGACATACTGCTCTCCGTTAAGTCTAGCTTCAGAATTTTTTATTCTCTTCCATTCTGATTTTTCAGCTTTACCTTTGCTCATTCTTTTCTTTTTTCTATTATTGCTCTTTCGTTTGCGGGTCAATGTGCCGCATCGTTCATTCAAAATTTCTTCCACTTCGGAAGAATCGGTAATAATAGTGTCTTCATCTACCACGAACTCAGGATCCGAAGGGATGACAGACTCTACATCGGAAAACCCACAAAAAGTCTCATCATCGCTTACATCGCTTGGTTCCCTAGAGTTAAGGCAAACAGGTTCCTGTAGAAACTCTACCGTTTTTTCGTCCAGTACTGCTACTTCGTTTATGGAAGTTGCTGTGGTTACCATGTCGACTAACCTTTTTCCTCTTGTCAGCCGATGCATGACGATACAATATTATACCTGTCAAAAGGACAAATTAAGCATAAGCCACCCAAATTAAGCAACAGCCACCCAAAATTCACCCAAAAACAAATGAAATATAATTTCAATCAAAATGCAATATGGCCTATGTCACCATATTTTTATGAGTGATACGACATAAAACATATTTCATGATATATTTTATTTCAAAAGAACGTTACACAAAGTAAAAAATAAAATACTCTTATTCACAAGTATAGAACAAATGTTAGTTACGCATTCTAGATGTAAATTACATAAATAAGTTTGAGGTTAAGATAAAATTTTATAGAATACGTTCAAGAACTGTAGGTTAGTTATTATTTATAGAAGGCAAAACTGGTAAAATTATGGTTATCTATTAAAATACAATTTGTTAGAATGAGTATAAGTTATACAAAAAGAACTTACCAATTATTTTTCAAAGAAACAAAATAATAACAAATTTTTCAAAATAAGAAAAACACTTGCCGTTCAAGATCCGACATAGAACGTATTGCAATATCAAATTAAAGTGTTTTTGTCACGTGACCTATTGCATCAGTTTCGAATCCGGTGATCGGATTGGCTGTTGACATAGAACGTTTTACGGATGCGTTCACAATTAAAATGTTAAGTAATTTTGCAGAAAAACAAAAAATCATAAAATTTTGACATAGAACGTATTGCAATATCAACGACGACGTCGTTGATATTGCAATACGTTCTATGTCAGATTAAGTTGATTTTTCAGGAGAAACATAAAACGTTTTAGTGTCATAACGATTACTTATAGCGATTATATTTTTAAAATATATTTTCAATAAAGATATTTTTCATCATATTAGACAATAAAATATTAATATTAATACTTCATATCAGAGATTCAGTGACATAGAACATATTGCATTTCTGTTTTAGTGTAATAATTATATTTCAGTAACGACATACGACTTTTTTGTAACAAATATATACTGGTTATCCGAAATTTTTTCAGTCAAAATAAAAAAAATCTACTAGAATCAAAACGTTTAAAAATGTCTGTTTTGAAAACTTCTCCCCAATATTTGAAAAGGTTGTAAGTTATGAAAGGAAAATCAAACGTCGATTGAAGCAGAAAATACTTATTTACACTTAATTATCCTACAAATCACATAGTCATAACTATTACTTATAATATACTTAATATAATTTACTTTATTTTTTTAATATGTGGGCAGTCTGATGAGGAAGTATGGGAACAATTATGCTCCAGCAAATCATAAAATGCATGATAATCACTTGGTATAAGTGGTTTCATTTCTTGTAAATGAATGAACTTTGTCAACTCAATGGGCAAGTGAGAACTGTACAAAGCAGTCGGAGTAATAACGTTATTTGATGGTCTTTTTGGTAAATACTCATAGTCATCTTCGAAATTAAGTTTGTACTTAATTTTGCCTTCTGGCAAGTATAGTAGATTGCAAATGTCGGTAACTACTGGGTCACCTTTCTTATTCCCTGGTCTTATACTTGAATATTTGCCTCCATCGTATTTCCAGAAGTCGTCGTAGTTTAGAAACACCACATTATATGGATCTTTCCTAGCACTTTTCATGATTGTAATGTAATCGGCTGGGATATAAATTTCGCGATGTGCGGGTAGCTTTCTTTCGATTGCACTATGGACTGAATCTACTTCCATTTGAGTATGGCCAACTTCCAGGTATTTCTGTTCAATGGTCACGTTCTTTTCAATTGCCAATTCAAGTAGCGCGTTCGCTAATTTAACTGATCTATTCTGGTAACAACATCCATCACTCCATAAAATAATTTTGGTTACATTCGACCTTTCTAGTTCCGATCTTAGGTGTTTGATTAAAATTGAAGCAAACACATTGCTATCTAGACCTCCATTGCCTTCATGCCATAAATAGCAAAATACCTCTTTTGTTATTAAATTGTAAATTGTATAGTTATGAACTTTTAGTTTTGTTTTGTAGTAAGTAGCTGATGCTTGCATTCTTGGGCATAACAACACAGCTTGCATGTCCATTGTATAAACAGCTGTATCAGCTCCAGTATTTTCTTTATCCTTATTTTTCTCTTTTCTTGATCTTTCTTTTTTCTGCAAATGATTAGCATACTCGTCCGCAGCTACATTTCCGTTTCTAAATGCAATACATGTATTACATTGGTCTTTTCTGGTTTTATAAATGGAAAGATTCAACTCATGGAACTTCCTTGAAAAAGATGCAGAGCAATATTTTTTCTTGCTATGAGTGGAACAAAATTTCAGATATTCCGCGTACAAATCACCTGTTATGGTGTTCCAAACAGGTTCTAAATATAGTTTTTTGGTCGAAGATCTACAATAATGTGATTCTACTTTCGGCAATTTATCAAAGAATTCAACAATACTGTTGGGCTCTTCGGATTCATCATTTCGAATTTGTGGTTGAACTGGAGCAAGCACAGGCCCAGTATTCTTCAGTAAATTTTCTGTAAGCCAGTTTCGAAGCTGTCTTGAGCCGATAGACAAAGTTCTCATAAACATCACCTTGCAGACATGTATTCTTTGAACATTATTGTCTGATCGCAGCATTAAAAAATTTCCTTTCCTGCTGCTTTCGTTGTTAGAAGAACTACGACGGTATTGGGGGGTACTAACGGCAACTAAATTTCTAACATAAACTTTTCGTGCATCCCATGATTGTACGTTCCAAAATTCGTCGAACATTAACTGCCGGTCGTTTTCAGACAATTTCTCACACTCATATTGCTGTCGCGGGCCTCCATGCTGTATTTTGGAGTGACCATTACAGGCTTCTTGCAAGCCTTTAGCTGGACGTACAAGAGTTTGCTGATATTTGCCATCCTGGTCCTTTTGAAAACCGACATACTGCTCTCCGTTAAGTCTAGCTTCAGAATTTTTTATTCTCTTCCATTCTGATTTTTCAGCTTTACCTTTGCTCATTCTTTTCTTTTTTCTATTATTGCTCTTTCGTTTGCGGGTCAATGTGCCGCATCGTTCATTCAAAATTTCTTCCACTTCGGAAGAATCGGTAATAATAGTGTCTTCATCTACCACGAACTCAGGATCCGAAGGGATGACAGACTCTACATCGGAAAACCCACAAAAAGTCTCATCATCGCTTACATCGCTTGGTTCCCTAGAGTTAAGGCAAACAGGTTCCTGTAGAAACTCTACCGTTTTTTCGTCCAGTACTGCTACTTCGTTTATGGAAGTTGCTGTGGTTACCATGTCGACTAACCTTTTTCCTCTTGTCAGCCGATGCATGACGATACAATATTATACCTGTCAAAAGGACAAATTAAGCATAAGCCACCCAAATTAAGCAACAGCCACCCAAAATTCACCCAAAAACAAATGAAATATAATTTCAATCAAAATGCAATATGGCCTATGTCACCATATTTTTATGAGTGATACGACATAAAACATATTTCATGATATATTTTATTTCAAAAGAACGTTACACAAAGTAAAAAATAAAATACTCTTATTCACAAGTATAGAACAAATGTTAGTTACGCATTCTAGATGTAAATTACATAAATAAGTTTGAGGTTAAGATAAAATTTTATAGAATACGTTCAAGAACTGTAGGTTAGTTATTATTTATAGAAGGCAAAACTGGTAAAATTATGGTTATCTATTAAAATACAATTTGTTAGAATGAGTATAAGTTATACAAAAAGAACTTACCAATTATTTTTCAAAGAAACAAAATAATAACAAATTTTTCAAAATAAGAAAAACAGTTGCCGTTCAAGATCCGACATAGAACGTATTGCAATATCAAATTAAAGTGTTTTTGTCACGTGACCTATTGCATCAGTTTCGAATCCGGTGATCGGATTGGCTGTTGACATAGAACGTTTTACGGATGCGTTCACAATTAAAATGTTAAGTAATTTTGCAGAAAAACAAAAAATCATAAAATTTTGACATAGAACGTATTGCAATATCAACGACGATATGTTGTTTTCCGTTACATGTTTTTCTTCACCGCCCAAGCAAAATCAGCATTTAGTGTCGGTGTGGATCGAATTGGGATGGCTTGCGTTCTATGAAAGTTAAAGTGAGCGCCGAGCCCCTGATCCGAAAGGTACAAATGAACATTTTCTTACCTTAACTTCTTGTTTAGTAGCTTCAATGAAAGTTCTTCTATCGCAAATTTCTTTATTGTCGATCTTAAACTTGGACGAATTATTCTCAACAATGCTTGCATAGAATGTTAAGATAATTATGACTTAATAATAAATTATAGTTTAAAACACTAAAGAAAAACGCTAAAGATAAAATTATTATATTTTATCCTGGCAATCCTGATCAGGATACTAAGATAAAGTTATTAAATTATTGTATTGTCATCGGTCCTTGAGACGAGACAAATGCAAATTTTCAAGTCAATCGGCCGTCTACAAAATGGTGAAAATTACATTAAAAGGTTTCGTTACATAGATAGCTAATAAAAGTGTTATAAAATATAATTTCATATTTTGTAATATTCAAAAAATATCGGGTAATCTTAGACCACGTACAAATATACAATCTAAAGTCATCATAAAGATATATTGCAATTTAAAATTTAAAATTTTTGTACAACAGACTTCAATATAAATTATTAAGAATAACTCAAAAACTATTGGTCAGACCTTGATCAAATTTATATGGGACCACATGAGACGCACCAGCTTTCAAATAAAAAGAGAATCATCGAAATCGGTTCACCCAGTAAAAAGTTATGATGTAACACACATAAAAAAACATACAGTTGAATTGAGTACCGTCTACTTTTTAAAGTCGGTAGAAAAGATGGTTATAATCATTACAACCCATCTCTGGGCTGGGGCTTCCCAGTGCCAGCTCCTTCCACTTAACCGCATCCAGCGCAAAGCAGCTCGAATCGTCAATGACCGAGGCCTTTCCGATCGGAGCTACGAAGAGATGTTGCATTCCGTTGCATTTTCTTTCGCATCTACTACGGGGAGTGCTCTGAGGAATTGTTCGGATTAATCCCAGCCGCCAAATTTCACCAACGCACATCGCGACAAAATTCCCGATACCATCCACACCATCTGGATGGTCGGTGGTCCACCACGGAACGTTTCACTAGGAGTTTTCTTTCGCGTATGACCTCTCTGTGGAATAGCTTACCACGGGCAATTTTTCCGGACCAATACGACTTAGGGACCTTCAAGAAAAGAGCTTACTCTTTTCTATAACCCGGCAATGCACCTGCAATTGCCCTTGTGTAGCAGTTGTTCATGGGCAGCGGTAGTCACTTACCATCAGGTGAACCGTATGCTCGTTTGCCCCCTCTCCTATAAAAAAGTAGTATCTAAACTGTGCTCCTAAACTAAAAACGCTGACGGTGGTTATAAAGCCACTGAACAAAAGTGGTAATGTATCGAACATGTCTACCACATGTCGAAGGACTTGGGAGGGCGAAAAAGTGGCCACCACACAAAGATAGCTGCGGGCACAAACGTAAATAGCGGCACTTAATGAATACCTTTTGTTGGTTGCATAAAAATAATATTATTTATTAGGAAAGTGCAATCTCTTATATATAACTTCTGATTACAACAAATAATGCTAAATTACAATTATACAATTATTATAAAAAAGGATATTTATTGTATCTTCCAAATCTTCTAAATCCCATTCAATACTACGGAGTGCGTTCCTTAATTCCGTAGAGGTCCATTCTACTTCTGGGCTATTAGGGATAGTTGGAGAGTTTGATATTTCCTGCCACCGTAAATACAAGCCGCGAGTCTTGTTCAATGCTTTGAACACCTCACTATTCACAAAAAATAATAATTTTATTATACAAGCCAGAAATATCTTATAGACAAATTCGGTCGACGACATGACTGGCGAGGTAGTTGCTTAGTGCCAGAGCCAGTGGCATAGTCGACAAGCCATTTGAAAATACATAGGGGAAAAGACGTATTTTGGTTTTGATTTTTAAGAAGTAGTGTTTATATTGCTTTTGTTTCTTTCTTGTCACTGAAGCAGAAATCATAGAGTGAAATTACAAAATACCGTGTAGTATATTTATTATATGGCAGTAGCCGATAGACGTCGGTGATGGCAGCGGCGGTCATATTATCGACTGGGTTTTGTTCATCTGTAAGTGCCCTAAGTGCTACTAATTTTCCAAAAACGCCAGCTTTATCACACAGCACATTGTTTGTGAAACTTTAGAGATCTGAATTTGGAGTAGGATCAGATGTACATTTATCTAATACTAGCGATCCTTCGCTTCCCACAAGTGATTTCTGGATCGCGACAACAACGCCACCGACCGGGTACAAATGTGAATCGAAACCATATAGGTACTTCCAACCACACACAAGAAATTTCATCAAAATTGGTCAAGCCGTTTTTGAGTTTTGGCAAGCCTAACGGACAGCAATTGAGTTTTATATATGAGAAGATGATTGTTTTCTAAGCCCAATTCATCTGCTGCATACATGAAGAAACAATTCCTTTTTAAAAGGCCGGCAACGCATCTGCAATTACCTTCAGGTGAGCCGCATGCTCGTTTGCCCCCTCTCCTATAAAAAAAAACAATCAAGAAAATTACTGTTTTTTTTTTAAAAAGGGGCTTGTCATGAACGGAATATCCATGAAATCACAACGAAAATTAACAAGTTACGACAGAATAACAGGAATTTTATCACAATACTCCTCTAGTAGATGCAATATGGATACACACACTTCTGCAAGCCCAACACCAATACCGGATTTTTATGGCAAAATATGAAAGATAGCTTCTTGAGCTCTGCACATACTTATCACTTATAATATGATGTCAGCTTATTAGCACAATAGCTAAGCGTTTGATGGAGGCCCGATTCCCATAGGAAAATGTCGCAATATAATTAATAGAATCAGGCGTTACTTTGCGGAAATCCATTATATAAAAGCTTTTACAAAAATTAACCGTTAAGACTTCTTAGCGGTTAGCCACCGTAGAGTCTATATCACCTGAGGATGCCTCGTGTAGAGGCGAAACACGTGTCGTATTATCGTCAGTGGTGTGTCTTGCCTAGTGTAGTGGTGTTGGGAGTAGCGGTGCTGGGATTAGTGGTGACGGGGATAGTGCACGCAATTGAGGGAGGGCGGGAGGTGCTTCTTCATACTAGGTAAGACACATCATTTTATTTTATAACGTGGATATTTGCGAAGTAAATTTTTGTAAAAGCTTTTATATAATGTCGCAATAATTTGTATTGCCCGTAAATAATTGATGAATTTAAAAAATGTGAATATATATGGCATGTGGCAATAGCATAACTTAATAAATAATGATATATTGTTACTTAAGTGAATATGTTTATATTTCGCTAGCCAAAATTATAGTAGTATTATTATTTTGTATATTTTATACTATACAAGTATATTGTTATGAAAGGAAGAAGTATATTGTAAATTTTCTTATATATAATTAAAACTTTTTTCAAGGAAATGTATTTTCTTACAAAACAAAATTTACCTAAAATGAAATGGTGGTAAAGTGTAATCGAAGTAGCACAAGGAGCATTTTAACTAATCTATCATGAACATTTGTAAAACCAAAAGGGATATTTTTTATGAGACGGACAAACAAGCATATAATAAGGAGAGATGTATGTAAGCTATTAGAAAATATCACTCAATGGTGCCTTTGGTTCTACAATAGCATTTTAAGTTGTTTTACTACTTAAAAATGAATGTCATGACGGCATGTGCACCATTGCATGTGCGGCGGCATCGGTGTAGCTAGACAGAATTCTTGTAAACAACGCGTGCACTGCACACCTGCGCCATTGCACGTGCGGTGGCGCCCGTTTTGCTTGTATAAAATGGACGGAGCGGCCGCCGTTAAGGCAGTCTTGGCACTGACGTGGAACGGTACGCTTGTCGTATTCCGTTACTAGTTTATCCTTGACTCGTTGAATAATTAATTCGTGATGGCGCAGATGTGCTGTGCACGTGCAATGGTGCACATGCCATCAAATATATAACACTGTTTATGAGACATAGCCATGTCTCAATGTAATGCTAGCATTTTTAAATTGCAACTTATTACTATCGTAAAGCCAACAGTTCTATGATAAAATAAGTTTGAATAATTGTAATTCATAATAAGTATTGTTACAATGTTAGTAAGCTATTTATGTGGTATATTAACTAATGGAATTAATAAGCAGTTCTAATGATTTACCATGCTGTTTTAGACCAACATCATTTTGTATACAAAAATGTATTTGTTTGGAAATACTTAAGTAAGATGCCTCTTTACCTTTGGAGAGACATGGAGTTGCAGAAAATAAGCCATCGTAAACTAAACTGAACTACACTAGTGGCACCCAATATTAATTACAACAACTGTGACTGTTATCAAGTCATACCGTATCATAAGATGTTATGAGCATTAAATTTACTAAATTCTATAAAAGCATTGTGCATCATTGTAATGATGCCTTTAATTGAGTAAGGGTTATATGTTCAAATTCAATGCTAGTATAATGTTGCTGTAATACCATTTAACAGACAAATGAACCCAAGGTATATTAAAGTTCTTACAGTGAACACTTAAAAACCATTAATCAGCTCTACTAATTTTTTATTCCATTTTACCATGTGAACCTTATTCACTTTAATTAGTACCCCAAACAAGCAATGGCTGATTAAGGGATTATAATTCTAATATACATTCATCTAAAACAGTTTTAACAATACACAAATGCTGTAAGTCGGCCATTACAGCTTCCTTGCGCTACTTGATAATATTATCTTGAATATGTTATCATCATACCTAAAAATAGTGCCAGATGGTATAAAAAGTAACATAATTATAGTTTGCAATAAATAAATAAATAAATAGAATAGTATTTTTGTTTTAGCAGCAAAAACATTAACAGCAAATTTTTTGCAGAAGTAAGTGACAGATTTTTCGTACCCTTCCTACCTTTATATGACAGCTCATAAATATGCACTTACTCTTTGACGACGTAAAAAGGATCTTCTAAAGTCATGTCAGATACAGGTACCGTATAATTGCTAGCAGTATCATGTGATGGAAGGCAAAACACAACAATCAAAAATAAGCAACCTATATAACATATACAGAAAGATTTTCACGTATAGTATCTAGACAGACCCTCGCCTATCCCACAAAATATCGACAACGTAAAACATACCCCGTGTATATTCGTTCGATGGGCTTATGCTCTGTCCTTTGCTAACTCATGTATTATTTGGTTGCTGCAGCTGCGTACTTTAAACATCACAACGCGCAATCGCAGTACACATGCTTCGAAAACGACCGAAGCGACTCTCTAATATGTACGCCATTTAATAAATACATCACATTATGCCTCTACCACCTTGCCTCCACTTTTTCTCCCCAAAACAAAACAAGAATAACTGAAACTGAACAACCCCTCACCTTATCCTCTATGTCAAAATGTCAAAGCTATACAAATGTCATTTAGCTCCATGACAAAGTAATGATCAACATTCTAATTACGTTCAATAATTATTAGATTCAAAATGTGAAATTCACATTTTTGAATGTTGAAATTTATTTTAACATTATTATTTTATTCTACTATTGCAATAGTGCTATATCCATAGCGTGTAAAATAATATTTGATAGGCTAACAATATTTTTAATTGCATTCAAAATTTACTAATCTACTACAAAGAAGCATGTCCAGTTTTGACCTGAAAATTTTCTAACGCGTCTAGTGATGCAAAATATCTTATAAAATTGCATTTCTTTTCTTATTTCGTATCGCTTTATTGAATTTTGAAATAAAGCCAGGAAAAATGTAATGTTACTATGTTTATCATTCTCAATATACTTTTGGAGACGGAACGTGTTTAACAATGGCCCAAAAGCCCAGAAGACATTCCAAAAATATAAAAATAAAGAATGAAAAATGAATTCCACGGACTTTGATACCTTTCACTTTCGATTACTTTGGCTTGTATTATACGGATACCGGTTTAGTACTTTTTGATTAGGATCTAAGACGTTATCGCTCTTGTTGGAAAGAGTTATAGAGCCGCCTACGAGATTGCTGTGTATAAACTGGAACATAATATGTATTAATACGCTTCAGCGTTATCGGGCCTTTCAGTTTGATAGCAGAGTCATCTCGCTAATTAGCACTTGGTTATCTCCAGTAATAGTAAGTATTATAAAGTACCTAACGATTTAGTATCCAGTTAACAGACGTATATGTAAAAATCCACCTTTTTTATACGTGGATTTAGGTGATGAAGCCATGCTGCAGCTATATTAGTAGTATAGTCGTAGCATGAGTTGTTCAGTTTGACTGGGGAAGACAACGCTCTCACAGAATACCAGCATAAAATAGCAGCTTAACACTGTTGTGTTTCGTATGGTGAGTGTAGAGAACCGGAGAAGATAGATGTAGATGTCTATAGGCCACCTCAACCACTTACCATCATGTGGACTGTGTGCTCATTTGTCACACTATACTATAAAAAAAATCTATCTACCTACCCAGTCAACAGACGAACAGATGATTGTTTTATAAAAATGATTAATATTCACAGAAGTGTGTTATATTTTTTTTAAATTAAATCAAAGTATGTCGAGGCACATCAGACTCCAAGATTAGGTTGGACAGACCGGGGTATTTTCATATCAGACTCTAGGAGTGGAATAAACTGACCAGTGGTAGAAATAGTGGAATGTGTTAGTTGTTTAAAGATTTTCGCCATGTTTAGCTAAAGTGTTCTTTTAGACAGCTGTCTAAATAAAAACATGTAAAAATATAAATTAAATATATTTATTTCTATTTTATGCTTTAAAATCACATTATTTATTTGTTTTTCGGATAACGAAAGAAGATTACATTTGTGAAGTGTGCTTTGATGTATCCATGCTGACTATTAATGCTCAGATTCATGGAAAAAATTAGTGTGATCCATCTGCTGGTTCATCTTGCCGTGGTCATACTCAATGGACGAGAAGGCATTACAGAGTATTGCTGCAACTGCATTGTAGGATGTCGCACTGTAGGTTGTTGTGCGCATGTTATGACGTTGGTGTGGTACTTAGGTTGGGCCAGGCATGAAATCAACATTGTGCCTCATGAAGTGGTTATACGAGAAGACATTGAATTAATAATAATAAATCGAATCCTGTTTTTTATTTAATTTCCCTGTCCTTCCCAAAAAACATGTAGGTAGGTAGTTCTTTTCGTCATCTATTTATGTTGTGATTGTCCAAAAGTGCACACCTCTGTGAGTTCAAATCCGGGCAACTACTATAATCAATAAAAGTCTAAAATCGCCAACCCATCTTGACCAAGCATGGTGATTAATGCTCATGCCTTCTGCTATATGACAAGAGGCCTTTGCACAGCAGTGGGAAAGTATTGTGCTGGTGTTAGGTATTATTTACTCGTTCTTGTCTTTTTATCAGACAGAGTTCGATGGTTAAAAGCGTCAACTGTCAAGCCGACTCCTGAAGTCTAGTCCGTATGGACGACAAATTTTGACCGATAATTTAATGAACTATACGATTTGATTATGATATTTCATTGGGTCTCTCGGCGATTAAGAAACAATTTTATTTTAATTATCGTGTAGTTTTTGAGCTTATGACAGCTGTCAGATAATCTCTGACAGCTGTCATAACCCCAAAAACTTATTTACTTAATAGAATTTTTCCCTGGCCTCTAAACAAAAAGATGATAAATTATCATATTATTGTAAATAATAATTGTTATTATACAACACTAGTTGTAGGTAGACGCGACCTGTAAAACGAATCAAGTGACAGGTCAATCAATGTATGGAAAGTGGGCATGATTCTTTATTCACTTATCGTTCATAATTAATTTTCCTTTTCATTCACCAAATCAATATTTTTATCATTATGAAGTCTTTGATTTACCCAGACCTACCATCATCCATACTAAAACTTAGTGATTGTATACTCTTTGGTCTCTACCATAGATTATTTATTATACACTAAAGAAAAAAAGAAGCTTAGTCTGTGTCATAGATAATATACTATATAGGGCAGTCTGTGTCTTTCCGTCGATTCCATGGAATTTGTTTTGTTCATTCTTCACAGCCCATCTTTTGCACGCTGGAAATAGTGATTATTTATTTTATTTTGCAAAATTTTAAATAATAGGTGAAAAATATGAATTCAGTTTTAAATCCCGAGGCTCCTGAGTTTTATCCGCATCTGACATCAGTTACACAGGTACGTGATTCAGTAATAAATTTCTAAGAACACACCAGCAAGTTTTCACCATATCCAAGTTTTTCAGCTTATATAAATGTTGACTAAATAAAGTAGTTTAAATACCGTTTGCCATTGACCTAGATAATAATTATCACAGAAATTTGGCTCAACGTGGTTCAAAATTATACTTTTATAATCGTAATTGTGTTCATGGACAAAGAAAACAACAGATTGTTAGAGATTGATAGTTACTGCGTACGTCACGGGGCCAGGATACTGAACCGCAATTAAAAGACCATCTTGTATAAAAATTAACCAAATTTATAGTCTTCAAATTGTAGTGTTTTCTTCAAGAAATCCGTCTACTCCATTCACTCACAGAATTGGTACTCTGACTAGAAACTTAAATATCCTTTACTTTAGTTGATTATCATTTCGAAATCTATGGTTATGTCAATAATCTGCTTTATAAATAAAAAACACATGGTAACAAAGAATTTTTTAAGACGCTTTATTGATATACATAACATTAAAAGAAATTTACCAAATTTGTAACTAATTTTAATTTCTAGGTCTATATATTATGTAGAAATATATTATATTATAATAATTTGTAAGCAAAAATTTCATGAATAATACATAAACACTTGCAACAGTCACCCAGACAGTTATAGAATGTTAGCTTTCATCCAATTTGTGTTAAATAATTTTTACCTACGCTACTACCCTTAAGTCCTAAATTGTTTAGTTGTATCACTTTAGTGACAAATTGTTAAAACATATTTGTATTTTTTCTTTTAAATAGGGACTTCAAAAATTTAGTCTCTCTCATAAACTAGCCTCTATTAATTTTTTTGTATATTTTATGTTATAAAATGTATAAATTGCAATTAATCTTACATAGAATATTTTTCATTTTATCCATTTTATAATAGATGATAAAATAGGTCAAAAAAAGTAATAAATTCAGAAATTATTACTTTTTTAAGTTATGTTTTTGTGACGCCTAAAGAATTTAAAACAAAGCTTAATTGATTTTTTACTTACAAGCCAGTGCTTGTCTATAATCCTATCTGATAAGTGGTAATATAAACTACAAAATTTTATAGCTTTTTACATTATATTTTATAGAGTAAAAGCTAATTCAGAGGGTTGATGTATAAAGTGCCAATTAGTATGAAAAGCCTATAGAGATGACGATATATACTGTAAAGATGATGGATGATAATCTATGACCTTTATGTGATTGTGGAGGTGTAAAAATATCCACTACTCCATATTGACTTGTGGGTGTCATAAGAGCCAATTATAGAGGGAAACTGAAACAGGACTGACTGTAATGGTGAAAGTGTTTCACATATATTAATTGTACATGAACATTATATATTTTATATACATTTATACACATAAATATGAGTAAACCTTTATTTGAATAGTTTACTCATGTACTTAAAAGTATAATTTATTTTGCATAACTAATACTTGTTCAAAACAAACACTAGTATAAATTGAATAACATGTGTACTTTGTTTTAATCCATTTTCCAATATATATTAATGTGAAATATTTGCATTAAAATATTAGATTTAAATATTTTTTTATATTTTAATAATTCCAAAGTAATCTAAATGTAAATAGTAATGCTTTGTATATCTTTGTCTTGTATAGATACTTAATACAATTTCTAATGAAATATTTTACATACTAATATTTAAAGAAAATAGCCACCAAACACTATGTTCAAAGAAAGTTGGTGTAATAAATCAAAAAATATTTTCTTTTGAGCAAAATTACTTTGTAATAGTGCCATCAAATTCATTCTATAGGTAACATCATTTTATTGAACAAAAATTTACTGACTCTCAAAGGGGTACGTAAAATAGACGCGAGATGACTTGATGCTTATCTTTATCTTATCTTGTATAGATACTTAATCCAATTTGTAATTTAAAGAAGTTTTGTATTGAAATATTTTACATACTAATATTTAAAGAAAATAGCCACCGAACACTATGTTCAAAGAAAGTTGGTGTAATAAATCAAAAGAATATGTTCTTTCGAGCAAAATTACTTTGTAATAGTGCCATCAACTTCATTCTATAGGTAACGTCATTTTATTGAACAAAAATTTACGGACTCAAGGGGGTACGTAAAATAGATGCTAGATGACTTGAAGTTATGAAATTGTCGATTGGTATAGATGGATTAATATATTAAGATAATTTTATTTAATATGGTTAATCTCCTATAGTGGCGGTGTAAGAATATTCACTACCCCATATCTTCCCATGGGTGTCGTAAGAGGCGACACAGGGAAAGTGAGGCAGGAGATGGCAGCAGTATCTTTCTGATAACAGCAAAATAGCAATAAAAAAACTGTGGTTGCAAACCTGCTCATCAAGTATAACAACAATGGCAATATATCCCCCACGGCGAGTGATACAAATCAATGGCCAGTCCCAGGCAGCCCCGCTATTCTGGGCCACCTGGTCAAAATATTGGAAAATCATTTGTAATAATAATAACATAAATAATTTCTTTAAAGTTAATGTTATGAAGATAAAATAAACAAAAATTGTAATACATACATCATTTTTGTTTCAGGGAGGTTATACAAGTATCAATAAAACTATAAGATCTTCAAATAATTTTCCTTCAGGAACTTCTTTAGAGTTATTCAAAACATTTACTGATTTTAATTTTGTAACATGCAAGCTAAGTGAAAGTGTTGTTGTACAATCAAATGAAATAATAATCACAGAGTTACCAGCTGTGAAGCTAAAATTGTAAGTAAATAAATTATGCTTCATTAATAATTTTTGTGAAATCCTGAGGGATAAAATATTTGCTATAAATAATAAGAAATTCTAATATTAAACTATTCATAATTTGAAAAATTTATTGTTACTGTTTATAATGAAATTTTTTGTAATAAAAATATTTTATGTTGATGCCCGATAGCATCCCGATGGCAATAATTTTTATCCTTAGTACCTAATCGTAATATTATTAAATATTAGATTTTTTTAAATATTTAATACTAACCCATATTTAGAAATACCTTACATGTTACTGTTATAATGAAAAATAATATGACTAAAAATATTTTTATGTTAATTCACTACATCATATTATCATACAGAAATTATCTTCAAAATTTTATCTTAACAGCAATGATAATGATTACAATACAGAAAAAATTGTTGATGCCAATGACAGTATGTTGGACAGAATTAATATTAACATTGACAGCATATGCAAGGTGAACAAATCCAGCGACCAACTTGTTGATGTTATTGAAAATGGTTTCAAAGTGTCTTCATGGAATAAAACACCAGTAATTGCAAAAATACAGGTTGGGTAACTTGTTTTCATGTTATTGTGTGGTTTATTAAGTAAAACTTGCTTAATATATGCATTTCAGGCGAATTTATTGTACAAGCATGTAATTATCAGTAACTATTGCTTCGTATATTAAAAGAACTTTTATATTTTTGCCTCAGGTGGCTGTGTAAATTTGAATATATTTTTTTGAAGAATTGATGTTGAATTCAATGAATCACATTTAACTACAAATTTTATTGTTAAATGAACAATTATCTATCTCAATGAATTATTTAGGTTGGATCTGCAATGTTCATTGGTGCCAAAAACATCCCTCGTCCGCAGTTAACTTTTAAGGACACCATTGACAACTCTGAAAGCTTATGGGTGCCAAAAATTTCAGACAAACCTAACAACATTAAGCCGCTTGCTTTAAATATTCTTTATAATGAAGAAGGAGAGGCTGTGGGGTGAGTACTGAGCTGTAATGTTATGGCTGTTATATCTTATTATTATATTATTACATACTACTTTTTATTGGTGTGCAAAAAGAAATCTGCTGACATTTTATTAAAGATCTACCCAATCCCTCATAACCTCAGATAGTAACAAACATCTTGAAAGTTGTAGTCAGTGTTGTCGGGGACTCAGGCTAGGGATTGTTGCAATGCTAGTTAACAACTATTATTCAATAACGTAAAATTATGTGAAAAGGGATAATATGAAACTTTGCAAAGAAATGTATTATATTACAATATTGCTATATTACACCTGAATATTATTTAACTGAAAATTCTGCCTTCTCAATTATCACAAGATAATTCGAAAAATAGTAATAATTTAAACAAATAGATTGAATGTGGAGTCAATAAGAGTGAATAAAGGTTCACTAGAAAATCTTTATCAGAATTGTCAAATAAAATTTATAGTGATAGTCACTGCGAGATCCATAATAATGTTGTTACGAGCTTGGAATTCGAGACAATTAATAACTGCCGAGTGAATTACCAAAATTGACACTTTAATTACAGAACACTAATTACAAGCTGGTATCATGAACAGTGCTTCGATATGACAACAAAGACGGTTGTATGTGCTTGTCCCAGTCTCGTTGCCGATTTTCGAAAACTTTTGCTAGATACCTCTCCAAAGTCTGATCAAATCGTTCTACCATTCCATCAGATTGTGGGTATAATAAGTTGACTTGTTTTATGAGTACCCTTAACTCAGCAAGTTTCCTGGAATATTTGAGACTCAAAATTCCTTCCTTGATCGCTGTGTATCTCTAAATGTACTCCAAAACGACAGAAGACTTCATGAGTTTATCTGCAACTGTCGAAGCTTCTTGATTTGGGATGGTGAAGACTTCTGGCCACTTAGTGAAGTAATCCATCTCAACCATGAAATACTTGTTACCACTTTCACTTTGCGGAAACGGCCCCCATGATGCACCAAAATTGTATAATTTCAATGCACCTCTATGCGACACCAGTCCTCGACATCGTCACGGATGTGAACCCAGTAAACCGTTTTCAGATCTTCAGTAGAGTTCGCGTAACTCCCAGATGGCCTCCTGAACAACCATTATGGTACGGCTGTAGAACATCCGGTACTTTAACTTTAGGGACAACCATTTGCATATGACAACTGTCTCCCCAACAATTTTCCCATTTACGGCACAGGACTCCATCCTGAATCAGCAAAGTGTCCCATTGGGCCCAAATGCTGTTCGTGGTCGAACTTGTCTCTGAGACGTCGCTCCACTCGAGCTTAAAAGCACTGGCCTTCATCTATTCCAGAATCGACTTGATGTCCGAATCTTCCTGCTGTGCATGGCTGTCCTTCCACTCATTGCTAAGCTGATCTGTCCTGACCATCCTCACAGATATCACTTACCTAGATATCACTACCCTCTTGCCTAGTACAATGCTTGCAATCTTCAGGACAAGGTCTTCTTGACAATGCATCTGCGTTGCCATGAGATTTCCCGCTGCGATGTTCGATCACAAATTGGTATTCCTGCAGGAGATCAATCCATCTCGCAACTTGTTCTTCTGGATTTTTGAAGTGCAATAGCCATTTCAGTGCAGCATGGTCAGTTCGTAAGTGAAATTTCCGCCCCAGAAGATATTTGTTAAAATGCTGCAACGACTTTACCACAGCAAGCAATTCCCGTCTTGTGACACAATAGTTCCTTTCCGGCTTTGACAACGACTTGCTGAAGTACGCTATCACAACCTCTTGATCATCATTCCGTTGAGACAACACAGTAGTCCTTAAGCTCCTGGAATGTGATATCGCAACTTTCATCCCAGCAGAAATGTCGCTTCTCTTCGGATAGCTTGTACAGAGGTTTGGCTATATCTGCAAAGTTCTTCACAAATCGCCGATAATAGGAGCACAAACCCAAAAATGCTCTAACCCGCGTCTTGCCTTTTGGAACCAGCCAATCCTTGACAGCGACAATTTTCTCTGGATCCGTGCGGATACCTTCTTCCGACTCTACATATCCCAAAAGGTACTCGTAACTTGCCGTTTGAATAGTGAACATTTCTACGGACTCAACTTGAGGATGGCACTCTGGATCTTCATGAGCACGTGTTCCAGGTTTTGAAAGTGTTCCTTAAACGTATGGCCTACGATGATGTCATCCAAATAGACCAGACAGGCATCACTAATTAGCCCGGTAAGTACAAGCTCCATCAACCTTTCAAACATTCCTGGAGCATTGCTCAATCCAAAGGGCATAACTTTAAATTGCCACAGACCCTTTCCTGTCGGGAATACAGTTTTGTCTTTGTCGTTAGGGTTAATTTAAACCTGCCAGTACCCACTTTTCAGGTCCAGCGTGCTAAACCACTTTACTCCTGTAAGTATGTCCAGCGTGTCATCAATTCTTGGCAAGAGATAGCTGTCCTTAGTAACGTCGTTCAAACAGCGGTAGTCAACAGTAAACCGCACGCTGCCGTCTTTCTTGTTTACCAGCACCACAGGTGAATACCATGGACTATATGAAGGTTCAATACCACCATCCTTCACTATTCCAGGAATCATGGTTTCCACTTCCTTTTCACGTGCTACCGGCAATCTTCTTGGCCGCTGACGGATAGGCAATTCTTCTCCTGTGTTTATTTTGTGTTGAACTAAACCAGTCTTTCCTGTCAGCATTGTTTGTAACAACTTCTTCGCCTTCACCATTTCATTCGGGGAGAGAACGCTGCGACAGTCTTCTAAAAATGTGGTTACTCTCGTTTGTGCATCTTTGCTGGGAGTTCCATTAGATAGATATTGGCACTGACGCAACCAATTCACTTCCTCACCAGTAGCAACCAGTGTGCCTTTTTCTATATTCTGTTCCTGATCACATAGGTTCAGCACACGTACTCCTGAGATGTCGCTGGTTCTGACCAAAGTTGAAGCCACTTTCCATGAAAGGTCATTGTCTCCCCTTTCCACGAGTACACAATGATGAGCTTGCCCAGGATTCCGAGGAAGACTTACCGGCACAATCGTTTCCGATCTTGGCGGAAGAACATTCTTTTTAAGGCTGTACATTCCCTGGTAACGCCCCTTCCACGAAGAGTTCCTCTTGTCCCCATTTCAAAACACCTTGCTTAACTTCAATCTCACAATAATTCTTCTTCATAAAGTCTAGGCCCAGGATGCAGTCGTCCATTATATCACCCACGATGACATTATGCAGGTAGATCATGTTGCCTAGCTTCAACTCCATCTTCTACTCTCCACGGACGGGTATGCGCTGAACGGTGGCTGTCACCAAATTAATGCGTTTTCTGTTGTATGTGAAGTACCCAAGGCACTGACTTATAAGTTGAGAACTGACAACGGCGCGAGAGGCTCCAGTGTTCCGTTGACCTCGCCCTTGATGATTAGGCTGTTACCATCATGGATTTGGGACATCGAAATCCTTGGGGCTCTTTTGACAGCCAGCACCCGCCCCGCAGTCCTCGCTTTTACTAGTTTCCCTGCTGCTGTTTTGCGGTGCTGTTAGTCGCACTACCCTCTCGAAATCGATCATTTCCCCTTTCTACAGTTCGCTTAAGGCAGCTGGATCGAAGATGGCCCCTTTCCCTACAGCCGTAGCACCTAGGACTGTATCCTTTATTGCGGTTGTGGACTGTAGCTGCTGCAACCTCCCTGACGCGATAGGAACGGTAATCCTGCTGCACGGCTTCCACCTCCTGTGCATGGGCCAAGGCGTCCTTAAGCGTCTCGTGGTGCCCGAGCCTCACAACAGCTCTGACTTCAAGGTCGCAGATACCGTCGTTGAATGTCTGCACCAGGTTCCTTACAATGAGCGCAGGTACAGACTAGTATGCTTTTTGAACCAGCTTTTGCACCTCAAGGGCCCACGACACAAAGTTTTCGGTGCTGAGTTGCACGCGATCTTTGAGCTGCGCACGAAAGACGTGTTCCAGGTGAGCGTTGCCATATCTCGCCTCCAATTCCTCAAGGAGCTGCTCGTAAGTCACTTCCTTACCGAGAGCTTTCAGAACAGTTAAGGCCTGGTCGCGCAGACCAAGGGTCATGGCAGCAGTCATGGCCTGACTTTTTTCCAACTGTTCGCCTACATAACAGCCTCGAACTAGATTTGGTAGACTGACCAGGAAGAATTCCCGTCGAACGGTGGCACCTTGACTCCACGTAGCGAAGGTGTTGTAGCTACCACGGGAGCTGTATTTCCATCCCCAAGTTTGAGGTCGTCCAACGTTTTCTCCACGTCACGTTGTCAACCCGATTGTTCACTTGGTCGATTCGGGTTTCAGTTTCCGACAGGCGGTTGTCATGTTGAGCAACCCTATCCTTCACCTCCCTTATCTCTTTCCCGAAGGTAGAGATGGACCTTCATGTGCATCGTGAGGAGCATCTGCTCTTCCTTATCGCGTTTGAGCTGCTCTTCCAAACGACGGGCCTGTTCCTCCTTTCGGTGGGCCTGTTCTCGTGTGGGCGAGCTTGTTCCTAGTGTCGGCGAGCCTGCTCCTGCAGCAGCATCATCATCAGAGCACCTAAGTCAGGTGCTGCAGATGCAGGAGTTGCTTACGGGCCGGCCTCCGTGGTCAGCAGCTGGCCCTCTGATGTTTACGGCGTTGCACCGCCAAATCGTCTCTGGTCCATCTCCTGCTGGCGTTGACTTCGGGTATGGATACCCTCCGTGTAGTCTTTCGGTAAAATCGGCATAATTTAATCCCACTTCTGACACCGCACCGCATTGTTACGAGCTTGGGGTTCGAGACAATTAAAAACTGCCAAGTGCATTACCAAAATTGAAACTTTAATTACTACAGAACACTAATTACAACTCAAAATCATACTAATAACAAAACACAATTGTACTACTGATCACTTTAGTTGGCAGTTGTATCACTTCGAAGTATTCGCTTGTATCGCCAATTCAATACTGCCTCTGGTCGAGGTCTATACCGGCCTTATATAGGGCCACAGATAGTTCCAGAATCTACTACTGTAGAAACATCTAAAATGTTTGAGTACATATCGGTCCTGATTGATTAGGTGTCGATAGTTCTAGAAAGTTAGTTAGGTAATTCATCTTGACTCTCCTAGTTCTGCCACTCGATATTAGAGGGCTCTAGTGGTAACTAGTGTTGCCATTTACCAGGGACTAATGGTGTAAATATGTCAACACCAGGCATAGGGGAATATTACACATCCACTTTTCACAAAATATATAAAATATAAATATCAGAATATTAAATTTTATTTCTTCAGGGTTCTATTTAAGCATTCACTATAGAGCATAATTTACAACTCGACTGCTCTGTTACTTCTCATAGAGAGTGGTATAACTATTTCAAATATATATAGATATATAAAATACCCAAACCAGCGACAGGAAGTCTTGCCGAAGGTGCAATACAACTGTTACTGTGACCGCCAATTCGCCTGTCAAGTGTGGCAGTGTTGGCAAAGCATCTCCTTTATAGCAAGGTCAATGTCTATAATAAATATAAAACTTTTTTCCTCAGGAGTGCAGTAATTATTTTCACGAATGGGTTAGAAAGTCAGAACCTTTAAATCCTTCCATAAGTTTGAATAGATATTATTATACTGATATTATCCTTCTAGCCTATAGCTGACTGAAAATAATGCCTAATAAGTAAAAACCATAATAATTTGTTATATAAATATGTTTTTTGTTTAATTAAATTTCAGATATGAACATCCATACAAAGTAGAATTAGAGTTGTATCACCCCCCATCAAGTTTTATTGACCCCGACCCTGAGCCACCTTCCTTTCCACCACCTTTGGAGAAAACAAAGTTGACTTACATAGACACGGAGTCGCAAGTCGACGCACTCGTAAAGCACCTCAACGATGTGAAGGAGTTGGCTGTCGATGTGGAACATCACTCTTACAGAACTTACCAAGGTATGGACTTGACTGGGACCTAAATGTTTTTTAAACGACATTTGAATAGCGCTAACCTTATATTCTATGTATACCACTTTATTTATATTGTTCGCATTATGATTGTTTAATTTGTACGTATATAAAAAGTAGCTATTTCTAAATCCCTTTTGCGTAATTATTTCTTCTTTACGTTGCTGTGGTGTTGCGAAATTTAGAATTCAAATATTTATATTTCCCAAGTGTACTAATTTAAAATCAATCGAAAGTTACTTCGTTTATTTGTATGAAGTATTTGTAATCTATACAAATAAATAAAATTGAAGTGTCTGTTTGTAATGTCAAGTTACAGCTTTTTACAAAATTCATATTAAAGTATATACGGTACTTACATCGATCACTAATAAAAAACTAGATACACAATCGATGACAAAAAAAGTCCTTAAAGAATGAGCGAACATTTGGGTGCGCTTTCAATTTGTACGTACTTTTGTGAATACAACTTTACGGTATGCTTTTAAGGTTGAATTTACATTAATGTATATTTATTTCATCTAGAATTACGTCAAAACAATTGGCGACAGTTTTTAGAGAAGTTTTGCATGGGGTTGTGTATCTAGTTTTTTATTAATGATCGATGGGTACTTATAACAAAAAGACAAGTTTTAAAGATATTTTCTATCTGTCTGTCTGTTTGTTCCGGCTAATCTCCGGAATGGCTGGACCGATTTTGACAGTAATTTCACTGGCAGTTGCAATCCTAGAATTAAGAAATCAGTAAAAGTAGAATATTTTTTTTCAACCTTCTATTGAGTTTACGCAAACAATCAATAAGTTTAAAAATTGCTTGCGAAGTACGAAGAACAATTATACAATGCAGCACTGTTTATATAACTAATGAAGAGAAACTTTTTTAAAGACCTTTTTATGTTTAAAGCAGTCAACCATTAACTTGTACAACTAAATGTGCTCTTTCTAGTTAATTAATAAATAAACTCATTTATTTGCTGTGCGGATTATAGAAATTAAGAATATTAGTGACAAAAATGAATTCCTTAATATTAACAAACGTTCGGCACTTCGTACTTATTTACGCAACAATTTGTTGACCGAATTCCCTAACTCATCTACATGTGGTAATTCCTGTTCATCAACGAATGAGGTTTTGGAAACGTAGAAATAATGGTACAATTCCAAAATGCTAAATCTATATACTATTAGACTGGTTATAGGAAAGCAGGATTATCAGTGCAAGAGTATCGACTTAGCGCTCACAGAATAACGCTTCTAGCTAATATTTACGCTTAAAACAGACCAATAGGTAAAATCAGTCATGTACAAACAGTACAACCAAAGAGATTTTTCTTCAATTTTATATGAATGTAATTAAACTTCAAACAAAAAAATTCTTGTATTTGTATATAAAATATAAATACGAAGAAACTTTTTCTCCGACCTTATATTAAGGGAAAAAATCGCGTAGGCTCAAGACATATGCGAAATAACTCTCCGAGTATCATCGTCATCATTAACTACAGCCTATCAAAAGTCCACTTCTGAACATAGGGTCTCCCCCATACATTTTCTATATAATTATATACGGGATATTTTCCATTTGCCAGTAAACGGGTTGGCAACCGCATTTATTATTTTCTAGGTGTTGTTAGAAACACGCTGCTGCCCATCTCCTGGTTTGTTTCTCTCTATAGCTTCTTACGACATACATGGAACATTATGAGATTGTGAATATACTACTTACTTACTCCCCTACTACACGGTTTCTGAGCATGCTGAACCTGAAACATCTTAATCACTTCTGTCACTGGTCCCATACCGGTAAGGAATAAACTCTTTCTTTCCAAAAATGTGATTCATTTATTAAGTTATATGGACAAAATGTGTCGCACTATATTATACTGCCTGGGACTTATATAGTGCGGCCACAAACAAAAAAACCTTCCTATAACCTATGATGTGGTTCTTTTATATCTTTTGATACCTGCTTCTAGCTTGCGATAGAGGGTATCGTAAAGTGGGTTAAAGTAAATTGCGTCAAAGACACAGGGCTTATTTTCTTTGACACAATTTGATCCGACATGGTTTCGAACCCTGTTCATGCCCATAGCTTATTTTAGTGGTTATATCTATCATTAAATTATTAAGAGCCCAATAACCAGTTATGCTGATCGCTAAGCCATTTCTTAAATTGCTATTAGTCTATATTTGCGCTCATCGCGACTTGCCTTTAATAATTGCCATAAATAAAAAAATGTTTTTTTAATCTGCTCTGCAAGCATTGGCGAAGTTGCTTTTGTAAAGATAAGTAATAGACATAATTATGCATTATCGATTCACTACACTACGGTACAGTATTTTTATTGCGTTGTTTACTGCTTTTGCGTCGTATTTGCTGTATGCATCCATTACAGCCAGCAAAAGTCTTGTGCTGAACATAGGACTCATATCCATAGATTGCCCCATGGGAAGGATTGTGTCATAATTTTTATGTGGTAGAGCCATGCTGCAGCTATATTATGGTTGTAGTATGAATGGGTCGGCTCGAACGGGAAAGGCCAGGCTCTCACAGAACACCAGCTTAAAGTAGCAGCTCAATGCTTCTGTATTTCGTATGGTGAGTGCAGGGACCCTTTTTACTGGAAACGAAGCATTCGATCTTAGTCCTCAAGGGGCAAAGCGTCTGCATTTTGATTCTTAATCGAGGATACACGTAGATGTCTATGGGCCACAGCATCCACATATTCAATAAAAAAAGAATTGCCACACGGCTTGCCAAGTGCGGCAACCGCAGTTTTTACTATTTCGAGTTGTTACCAGGAAGATGCTATTTCTCGTCGCCTGTTTCTTTGTCGCCTCTTACGACAATCACGGGATGATATGGGGTAGTGGATGTTATTACAACGCCACATATTTATATTCTAAGTATATCATAAATGAATGCCATTTTATTAAGTTAAAAATAGAAAATAATAGTGTCCTTCTCTTTGTATTTGCTCAGCAAAAAAAAAAAATACAAATACAAATATAGCACCAAGCAATTGATGTCGACAAGTATTACTTTGCATAGCTAACTGACGACGTCCGGCTATTATCAACTGTACAGTATTTTATTGCAACTAAGTGTCAATGCAGACATAGGGGAGCACGATTGATTGTCTCGTTAGTATAGTGGTCGCAAGTGCAACTGGTGATCATACGATACCTGGTTAGAATCTCGGATCGGATCAGAATCAGTTATACGGGGTTTTATATCAAATTATTTTAATTAGCAGCACAGACTTAGAAATTTTCTATCAACACCATGAGTTATAAAGAAAAATTAAGTCGTTGGCCCTTTGTCTGATCCCTCGCCACTCGTGTCGGATTGATGTCTCGTCGGTCTGTGAGAGTGAGAGAATAGAGAGTGCACTTGTACTTGCGCACACACTCTTGCATAATAATCGTGTCCCGCGCAAATGGTTAGTCTTCATTGTGGCTGGCTTCCGTAACTAAAGTTCGGTCTGGAGGACATTTTTATTACGGGAGGGGAGTGAATACCCGAAATTTAAAAAAAAAACAGAGTAACGCGATATATAGATATTTGTTACTTTTCAGACCGATGAATATAGTCGATATAAAACGACGCAAACTATATAAAACCAGCGCACTGAAAACCATCTTCGAGGATATCATGAAATTATGCTGAGTGTAGTCCTTTTATACCAAACTAGCACATATGTATAATAAAGCTTTGATTGAATTGCTTTAAATTTTATTCTAGGATTTAGTTTTCTTTTCATCATTACAGCCCTTCACAAGTCCACTGCTGATCATAGGCATCCCCCAAGGAATGCCACAAAGCACGGTCCCAAGCCACCTGCATCCATCGACCTCCTGCATGTCTTAACAGGTCTTCACTCCATCTAGTGGGGGGTCGCCCTACACTTCGCCTACTGTGCGAGGCTGCCACTCGAGAACCTTTTTTCCTCATCGGTTGTCGGTTCTTCGAGCTACATGGCCGGTCTATTGCTACTTCAGCTTACTAATCCATTGGGCTGTGTCGGTCAATCTGGTTCAACCGCGGATATCCTCATTTGTAAGTTTATCACGCAAAGAAACCCCGAGCATAGCCCTCTCCATAGCTCGCTGAGCGACCTTGAATTTCCTCATACGGCCAGCAATAAAGGACCACATCTCAGATCCATAAGTCATCACTGGTTACACGCACTGGTTGTACACTCTCGTTTTCAAGTTTTGAGGTATACCTGACGAGAAGATGTGTCGTAATTTCCCGAACTTCGAATAGTTTTCTTTAATCTGTAGTTATAAGTTGTTTAGTGTAGGTACGAAGATGACACTGAAAGTTCTTATAAAATCAAAAACTGAACAAAATAGCAAATTATTAGTTTTATTATATCTTTTCAAAATAGTGTCAATTTACATCAATACATCGCTGCATCCCATAGAACCACTGAGAAAAGCACTTTGCCACACGTCCTTAGATGTCTCTTCAGCGGCATTTTAAAACGCAGCCACTGCTTCCTCGGCGTCCATAAAACGTTTTCCTCGAAGTTTTCTTTTATTTTAGGAAATAAATAAAAATCTCAAGGTGCGAGGTTGGGCCTGTAGGGTGACCCAGTAATTCCACGTCTAACGTCGTCAAGTAGTCGATTGTTTGCTTGGCGGTGTGCGACGAGGCGTTTTCGTGGTGAAGGAGGATCCTACTGCGAGGTCATTTTTCCCGAACTTTTTCCAAGACAAGTGGCAAACAGTTGATCGTGTACCACTCTGCAGTAACTGTTTTTCGATCCTCTAAAACAATATTGCCTAATGACCTGTTCTTCCGAAGAACGAGGCCACCATCTTTTTTCCCACGCTTCGACCTCTCTTCACTTTAGTTCTTAGTTTCAGGATCATAACAATAAATCCAGCTTTCGTCACACGTAAGTATGTCGAACACAATATTTGAGATACCTCCGTTAAATCTTTGAACCATTTCGCGACACCAATCAACACGACGGATTTTTTGGGCCTCTGTCAAATTATAAGGTATCCACCGGGCCCAAAGCTTGCTGACCGCTAAATGTGCATGGAGGATTTTGTGCACTTGACTCATACCGATGCCTAAAAGCTTGTCTGAATCTGCTGATAAGTCACTCTTTTGTCACACAACACTGATGTTATCTTCAGTCGTCGCCGTAAAAGGCCGTCCATCACGCAGATCATCGGTGAGATTAGTGCGACCACGTTTAAACTTATTAAACCAGTTGTAAACAGTGGCACGAGATAGGGCTCCATCGTGAAAGGCCAATCGAAGTCTATCATAACTTTCTTGTTGACTTAAATGACATCGAAAGTCGTAAAAAATCATTGTACGAAAATTTTCTCGCATTAAATTTATGTCATTTGTTTAAGATTTGCCGGCAAATCTTAAACAAATGACAAATTAATAAAATACATACACAATAATATTGATAGAGTTCCATTTTCAAAATTTAGCTTATTTTTTTATTCCTTTACAAGTGGTCAGTTTTAAAAAGTTTCAGTGTCGCCCTCGTATAACATCTTTTGTAACATGTGTGTTGGTGTTTGTATAATTTTTTTTCTTTCTTCAAGTTTATATAGCCCACTTTTGACTCAGTTGTGAGACACAGAGTTAATTAACAATGGTTAAAGATGGGTTTTGTTTAGTTTTTTTGCAACTTCAAAAGTACCATATTCAAAAAGTAACTGAACCGACGAAGACTGCAAATAGTAATTAAGGTTGATGATTAATCCCACGTTGTCTTAAGAGTATATCTCAGGTGGGGTTTTGTCCATACAAACGTAATCCTCTGTTTTCTTCGTGTGATATTAGAGCATATATTTTTATACGATACAACCTATATCTAGCGGTACTATATCCCTATGTTTTATTTTTCATAGGTTAATTTTAATTAAAAAAAGAAAAGAGAATTTATATAAATATACACTATACCTTACAGATATAGCCATTCTTTCAGGTATTGTTTTAAATAAAATTAAAATCAGTCTGGATTCGGAGGATCAGGAGTGAACATGGGAATGATTTCATAGTTATATAATCAGTCCGAGCTACAGTTATCACTCTGTTGATTAGCTCGATCGTCCAGCAAAGGCGCGACACCAATAGTTTATTATAAACCTATTCTTCCAATTTCTTTCAGCTCTGACAATTTCTGACTGCCCCAGGAGTGTGGAGTGTAATGTTTTTGAGAGTATATATGTCTGATTGTATGTCTATTTCTTCGAAACGCTTGTTATCCTAAACGACTTGATGGATTTTAACATATGAGGTGTCGTCGTAAGGTTAGATTCGTCTAACGACAAATTATTAATTGTAGGAGTGACGTAGGCTATGTAATATTTATATATTGCATCATCAAATATAAAAATGGGAGGGGAAGGTTATTTTCAGTAAACTTTAGTCAGTTTTAAGCTTGTAATATACATTTTTAGTTATTATTAAAACGTAATTACTAGGCTATGCGTAAATCTTGTTTATTACACGAACTGAATAAGACTTTTAAAATATAAATTAATATATGAACTTTTTAGGGCTTAGTGACTCATTACTTAATATAGAAAATTGACTCTTCCAGGCATCACATGTCTGATACAAATTTCGACGAGCGAAGGCGACTTTATTATCGACGCGCTAGCAGTGCGTGAACACATTCACAAGTTAAACTTATCCTTCACTGACCCGAAAAAAGTGAAAGTGAGTATGTCTTACGCACTTTTGTCATATATTTTAGTTTTACTAATTAATTTTATATCGTTTTTTGGATAATCTATTTATAAAAAAAAAAAAACCTTATAAATTTTGTTAAACAATAAAATGTTTGTTAACTAAATTAATTTGCAAGTCATCTCAAGAAATACTTTCAAAAACAAAGAAATGAATCTTAAACTTGTAACATAGTCTAATATAATAAACGTAAATAATCTTAATAAATTTATAAATGATTATATATATAATCATGATTTGCCCTTTAGGTTTTCCATGGCGCCGAAATGGATGTTCTTTGGTTGCAAAGAGACTTTGGCGTCTACATAGTAGGACTATTCGATACGCACCAAGCGGCTAAAGTGTTAAAAATATCAGGGTTGTCACTCAAGAGCCTGCTTATGCGATATTGCCAAGTAGATGCCGATAAGAGGTGAGAATGTATATATATCTTGATATCGTGTCGATTTTGACATTTGTAACTACAACTGTGGGTCGAGTTACATAATTGTACTTTATAATAATGTAACACGACTCATATAAATTACCAACAAACACAAATGCAAGAAAAGTTAGAATATCTTCATTCTTGCATATGAGTAATTATTTACCTACATTTGAAGTTGGAGTTAATTCTATTGATACGTTTTTGGAGTTGCCATTTCATGCGATTCAAATAAGAATAGGACTGACCTGGCGCACATATTGTGATGTCATAGCTGTCAATTTAAACCAGTTAGGTAGGGTGAGCAAAACAGATATTTTTGAAATAATATTTATTTACAAATAAATACAAAAGAACCATGAAAGTTTAATCGGAAACTAGCACTTCAATTCCGCTCGTCTCCGCATCACTGTCTAAGTAGTCAACATTGTCATCATCATCATCACTGCTGCTTTCCCCTATAAAAATGGAACATGTAACAGGAAACAACTGCGTAACAGAGAGAATTATCGAAAGTTAAAAGAAACAGTAGCACTCCGCAAGCACACGCACTCAATCGCACGACGAAGCACATTGACATCGACAAGATGGTTTACTCTTTGCTTTTTGGCCAAATGTTGCCACAGTGCACAATCTTTATATTTTGAAGTCAAGGAAAGCTACCAGACCAATAATAATTAGTGACATTGGAAATTTTAAGAAAATAAAAATTGATCTAAAGTAAACTGAGGAATAGTAGCTTATTTATCTAATTTTTGTATATTACGCATTGTAGCAATCGGTCGAACTACAAGGAGAGCTACTACTGTTTAGCAATATTTGGCACGCCTTTTTGAACACGGTTGCTGCGTGTTTAGCAATTGTTGAGTAAATACCTCTAAATATATCTTCGTAGATTTGGCACATGAGTAAAGAAACGGAATAAAGGCAAAGCTTCTAAAGCGCGTGCAAAATTTTTACATGTTTTAGCAGGGTCACTTATTTGAAACACGCGCCACAAAGCGACTGTTACTCTTGAGAGGGGTGGGATATGGCGCGATATTTAGTGTCAATCATTCAGTGGACGTAGGAGGAGCGCGCGTTAACCGTGGAGACCTACTTTACCGTCGGCTGTTCGGTCATCGCAACTAAGCGTGCATTCAGAAAAAAAATCAAAATCGGGCCTGCAGGTCGTGTGCCTGATCGGAAATCTATGGGGTACTAGTAGCGTGAAGAATAAACATAATGGACCTTCCAGAACCAACTTAACTTTCTCTCTCTCTCTCTCTCTCTCTCTCTCTCTCTCTCTCTCATCATCATCATCAATGGAATTCCTAACCGCACAGTTAGGCTAATTCTTCATGAGTAATTGAAATTTTATCCATACAAATTGGCAGTGGTGCAACAGCTTAATCCACGCGATTATCTTTCGCGTAAAAATGCATGTGAAACCATCCTCGAACACCTGCCTCATTACACCCTTGTTTTCTTTAGGATCTGTTATTATTAAATGAAAATATTATTATTTTCTAAACAATTTAACAAAACTTTATTTAAGACGAAAGACAATACTTTCTGCTAGAGATGACCACAGAGAGAGAGAGAGAGAGAGAGAGAGGAAGAGAGAGAGTGAGGGAGAGAGAGAGAGAGAGGGAGAGAGAGAGAGAGGGAGAGGGAGAGAGAGAGAGAGAGTGAGAGAGTTGTAAAATCATATGGGGCCTATACACTATCGGCCATGATGGACGTATACTAGTGATCACGATCGTGTAGATGGCATAATCGCCTATAATTGCCCATGATCGGTGATGATCGAGCGTAATGGCCGCTGCACACTTCTGTACGTGAGAGTTCAAGCGCCGGTACCTTAAGCCGGAGCGGTAACCGGTGGGGTTGATACCGAACCGAAATGGAATATAATAGACTTGTGCCAAAGGAGAAACATAGTAGATACATCTTTATATATAAAAATTACGTGTCACATTGTTTGTCCGTGATGAACTCCTAAATTATTGAACTGATTTCAATGAAATTTTGCACACTGTGTGAAGTTTAGTCCAACTTGAGAGATAGGGTCATTTTATCCCGATAAGTGACCTTCAATATATTTTTATTGCGAATTTAAGGATTATTTCATAGGAAGGGTCGTCGGAAAGGAAACGTCTGCCTGGCCAGCTAGTATGTTATATAAACTTAAGTATTTAGGTAGTGAAAGACGTTCAATTTTAAATCTACTTTTATTAAATATCTTTACAGATGGGGAATATTAAAATTTCCGACAAAACAAAATATGCACGACAGTTAATGGTAATCTTAAATAATTAACCAACACTTAGTATTTCAATACTCAGTATTACCTACTACCCTTTAAAAATTACTTACTCTTATATGTTTTATTATTATTTCTAACAATTGCAAAAACTCGTAGACGTATGTATAATTTTTTTTAGAAAATCCAATGGGAAGCGTAAGCATTATTTTTGCATAAAGTGTAGTCAGTCTGTGCTTGCGTACGGTGCGTGAGATTAGAGAGACGAGACGCGAACTACTATACTAGCCCTCGGCCCGTTACACTCCCCGCGCGCCTCTCAAGGCGCCACGCACATCCGGACACCCACACATAGCCGCAAGCGATTTTACGTGCACACATGCTTAAGTGTCGTTTCTTTTCGCGTAGTGTATATTTTCTTTACCGCTGTGTCGGTTTTTCGGACAAACATCAAAGGAAGTTCGGACATGATCGTGCGCGCGTCTACATGATCGCCGAACGCCGATGCTCCATAAATTTATCTTGATCTATTTCGGTGTACAGTTAACATACACAGAATAGAACAAGTAGAAATAGAACAACTTACTTTTTTTCACCACTCTGTTATGGTCTATAAATATATATACAATAATTACATATACAATAAATAAATATACAAATACAATAATTGTGACAATCATGCCCCATATACCTGACGAGAAGATGTGCCGTAATTTCCTGAACGCCGCCCAACCGAGTTGAATCCGTCGATTGATCTCTCGGTCGAAGTTGGACTTACCTAGTCGGACTATTTGTCCCAGATAAACATACTCGTCAACAACTTCGAGTTTAGTGCTCCCAACAACTACCGGCATAAGTGTGACATGGACATTAAACATGATCTTTCTTTTGTTCATGTCCATATTAAGACCTATCCGTTGGGAGAACTATTGAGGTCATTGAGCGTAGTGCTTAGGTCCTCCAGCGATTCTGCCATAAGGATTATATCGTCGGCAAATCGAAGGTGAGTGATGTATAGATTTCGTACTCTGGTTCTGTACTCGGATAGCCATCGTAGTCCTACTGTACAAACACATCAGCACTTCGATATACCGATAGTCAACTTGGCACCGCTGAAGGGACTGTAGCACCGCCCAAATTTCGACGGAATCTAAAGGTTTTCTCATAGTCCACATACGCAAGGCAAAGGGGCAGATTGTACTCTTCTGTCTTCTGTACAATTTGCCGAAGGGTGTCTATATGGTCTATGGTACTAAAGCCTTTTCGGAAACCGGTTTTTTCGGGAGGCTGGAAGTCGTCGAGTCTGCGTGCGAGACGATTAGTAATGACTCTCGGAAACAGCACGTAGACGCGGCTCAGAAGGGAAATCGGTCGGTAGTTCTTGTGTTTCTATTATTACATAACATTATTCTTTACTCATTTCTATTATTAAATCAAAACATGAAACAAAATTAAACACGACAAAGTGTACACCCTGAGCTTGAACACTGGCTGCGCCGGTATATACTGGTTTCTCTCTCTACGTGACCAGCCGCCAGATGCTCACATGTGCCTCAAGCTTGTACACTACTAGCTATCATAGCTCAGTTGTATGAAGCTTTGTCTCTGTTCCGTTTCTTTACTCATGTGGCTTTGGGAAACATTTTCCAAGATAACTAGCAAACAATTGTTACTACAATAGTCTGCATAACTTTTGTCTAATGGAGGACCTTCTAAGAATGAGTAAACTATATTTTACCTTGATTTATACTACCTTATTTGCCTTTGTAGGCTATAAAAGTAAACCACTGTGCGGGATGGCAACAAAGGATTTCGATATTCTTCTTCAAGTTATCTTTTTAAATTCATTGGCATTGTCATTTTGATAATTTATAAACTTTCAGTGTCAAACTAGTACTGACCTACAGAACGGCGATCATCACCGGTTAGTCACCGCCTAAACGACGAATGATTTCTTGAAAAAATATTCCGTATATTTTTCTTGTAAAGTCTGGCTTTACAACCACTTAACGCCAGGCGGAAACGCAGGCAGGCTGTTACCATCTAGAACTAGACGATAAATTGCAATGTCGTAGCGTAACAAAAACCTATTTACTTTTGGGATCAAGACGCCCAGATTGTAATCGGACGGTAGGGCAGAAGCTGGTAGATTTTGTCACTCCTTTGCTGTGTGCAAAACGAAAAACGAAGCAAACCACTTGATTTGAGTGCGTCGTGAACCGTCGATATCGACAAGGAGAGACCCCGCGACAAATAAAAAAGAAAAAGAAAAATTCCACACTTGTCCCAGCATGGTCGCTTTTCTAGTTTATGAAAAGCCAATCCTGATGGCAGACATTATGGTATCCCATTAAAATCAGCTGTGCCATAGAGTACTGATGTTTTTTTATATTATTTTATATATAATTATAAAATTGACTCCTTTGGGTAACCTATTAGAGATCTCACTCAGGTGTTCAGGCTTCTTAAATGTGCCTAGTTGTCTCATGATCACCGCTGTGCGGTTGGTAGACACAATTTTAAATAATTTTGTCCATTCTAATGTCTATCAATACTCAAATCGCAAAGAAAGAAATCCTTCAGTGTTAGAGACGCTTACAGCAAATGTCATTGCGGAAGTATACACCGACTCCGGTGCGCTGGTGGAAATTATACTCTAGTGAATACCCAGGCTAGCCAAGGTATACAGCAATAAGAGGACATCTGATGCATTTGCGTCTCTGAAAAGAAGAGTAAGTGCGGC